AAGTGGTTAGGATTTGTTATCTACGTACAATAAAGTAGGTACGCATACAATATATATATATATAAACTACACTACCACCAATAGACATGCTAAGTGTAGTACATATTTAATTAAATTAAAATACACAAAGTCACTATACATAGTTTTTGACTTTATGGTAGGGAAAAGACCCCAGCCTGTAGCATCTAAACAACATGCGCTGTTGAGCTATTTTGGTTTTGGATATTCGGAAATCCACAGACTGAAACCGAAACGTAAATTAAGTTCACGGCTGTATTCATCTGTGGACGGTGGTTCGTGACCGGACGAAATTTCGATATTTCCACCACCCATTTAGTATACAGGTGTCCAGACGAAGGCCGACCAACATGTTTCAGAAAAATGATAAATATAAAAACACGTTGGACTCGGTGGAGATCGAACCCACGACCGATGATTATTAGCCGTACATGGAATGGTGACATCTAGTGGCTTTCATTTAAAGAATAAACAGTAATGATAGCCAGTTTTTAAATACTCTCACGTAAAGCTCACTTATCAAAAACTACAATGAACATATACCGATAGATGATCAAGGTTTTGACATTCTGCTTTAGGTTTTTGTTGCATATTTTAAATCTTCTTTCTTAATGGTAAGATGTAAAAATGTAAGTGTCAATTTGGCTACCAAAACGGTACACCCACAATAAAGTAAATACTGATTTCCTGTTTTTATTTTGATGTAAATTATTAAGTAGATTAATTAGTAGTAAATTCAGTTATGCTACTGAGTATTGAAAGTGACATACATATTAACAATATAATATATTTAAAATAATTTTCATTTTAACTAACATTTAAACGCGTTTTAACCCGTTAAAGTGTTTTAGTTAAATGTGTACCACTCGCGTAAACTAAAGACAGTATTTAATATAATAATCACATCACATGAAACGTCTCCAAGAAACCATAGCATCGTGCGAACAGAGAACCGCAGGTATTTTTTATATAAAAATCTCGTCCGACCGGTCCCACCACGGAGGCTATAGCAGTCTATGATTAGTCACGTTTGACGAAGCAATGATTCAAAGGTAAATCGACAGATTGTAGTATCCTAGTACTGTGACTAAGCAATACCCATATATGCAACCCTATCTGGTTCGACACGGTAAAGAAATAAATGTGTGGGCCGTCATGTTGCGTTGAGTTTATTTTTTTAACCCAACACTCAAATTTGAAGTAGTTACTGGATCTTGGGTCTGATTTATAGAGATTAGTTTTAATATTATTTCAATTTGTAGGAATAAAAAAAGGTTTCTTGTCTAGGTTTTTACCTGTTATGTCTGCTTACGTGTCGTAGGTTTTTAGCATTTTTTTAAGAATGTCAAAAGTGATTATTATGGTTTTTACATTTTATTAATAGTTTTGTGACCATTCACTTTCTATTTTACACTAGATGGAAAATAAAACCGTGATAGGTGTATGTAAAGAACTTCACAGTCTATTAAAGTGTCTGAAAGGATGTATTCTGTAACATTTTGAATGAAATCCTTTTCTCTTCTTTAATAAAACCTTCACGTGCGTCTCGGTATGCCCGACAACTGATAACTTGAAGTAATCTAAGTTGGAGTAGGTATTTAATAATGTGGGTTTACGTAAGGAAGCGATCTGCTTGACGCATTGCTCTTTTTTTTTAGTCACAAACGATCCCGTCAAATTTTGCTCGTTGCCTTTAAAGGAAAGATTATTATAAAGTAAATATTTCAATATAATACAGCAATACTTAACGATTATTTAAAAATCAAAGTGGTTGAATTTAGCTTTATTATTAAAATACGTTGCGAAATATTCAAAGTGAAACAGCACCCCTGAAGTTTGGCGATCAAGTTGCGCGTTCCGTTTCAATAGAAAATTCGGGATCTTTGCCAAGTTATTAGACATTTTTTACGGCCAAATGAATTTCGGATGGACGGTATTATATTGTTTTTTTATTTATCTTTTCCTTTTGTTTCAAACTCTTTATGTGTCGGTTGCGTTTTATCGAGCCGGTTTCAATTGGGCCCATATAAGGGAAATTACTTTATTATGAACCGCTGTTGTCAACAGCGCCGTTACAATTACTATTTATTTAATAATTATTTGGTAATATTGTATAATACGTTCTCAACAACACAAACAATACAATTGAAAGCGTCGGGCCGTGGTTATAAATCGCGTAAATATTATACTTAAATGTGTAGGTACTCGCGGCCACTACAGACAATACTTTATGTACCTGAATCACAAACATATTAAGATTTCCAACCGATTATTTATTACACTCGAATATTCCTCCCGAAAATAATGAAATAATATAGCAAAATTTATTTGTTGTCAAGACAACAAATTTATTTTGTCTTCTTCGGTTCCTTCAGTTGGGGTATGTAATATCATTTTCTATTTTTAAGGGTAGGTTTACATTTTCAAAGACAAATAAGTATTATAATAAAATAGATAAAAAACGACTGCCTATAAAAATTAACAACAATCTGCCAAGTAAAGTACATCGAACATAGGAATTTAATGCCAATTATACACGTATGGTATGCTACCTATATGTTGTTTGCTCTGTGTGTTTGGTTGTGTATTATTCTTACACAAAACTACTGTACGCTTACAACTTAACATTAATACATCTTATTCGTAATCATATTTGACTCGCTAAATACCTCTGCTAACAATATTATTTTCACTCACAATAAATCACATATATGAAAAGAGCGATATTAATTTTCATCGGTAAATAAAATGTGACCACCCCACACCTCCCGGGGACGGAGCGGTGCGAAAATTCCGAAAGCGATTCCCGGCTGCGCTATGTTTAAAATGTTGTTGGTAAAACGTTAATAGATTGAACACGTGTGGAATGAAGGGGCATTGTTACGAAACTATTACTCATAGAATTTATATTGAGTTTACCTCGTGCGTGGACTCTGTACACCTAGTACGTTGCTTGCATAAAGCCGCGAATACATTGCCTATCGGACGGGAAAATCCCTTTTTATGTGGAGGGTGATTTTCCACTCGTAAACCGGCTGTCGAGCTCGCTGGCTATTTAAGGCCTGGTCTCGCACTTCGAGGATGTTTATTCTATCGCTTATATAACATGTATTTAAATAAAACACTTTAACGGTTTCAAACGCGATATTTATTAGTTAAACTTATTTGAAAATTATTTTAACTACAGCTTCGGATGCTTTGCAGCAACCGTGGTGACGGTCTTCAAGTATAAATAAGTTTAAGTAAATAGTATGTGTCGCTTTTTAAACCGTTATAGTGTTTTATTTGAATGTGTACTACTCGCGTAAACTACAGGGTTTAATATTATGTATGGTTTCACTTTTTTCACGCTATAGCCAATAACTTCAGTGCCATAGCATTATAATAAAGTCGTCCTTTATTTATTTGCTGTTTTTTAACGTAAACCTCGGAGTATATCTCGTAAAATTTGTCGAAGTATGGCGATGTAAGAGATTATTTTCGAGAACATTGTATTCACAAAAGTAACTAATATTATCTGAATGTTCTAGATTTTAGACAAATTTGCATTTTTGTCATTGAATTGTAATACTAATAATAATAGTATTGCTTAAGACTTATTGTTATAAGAAATGTTAAAAATCTGCGCTACGTTATGACGTGTACGTTCTTATTTCGATCACAAATTTTAGCAAAACTTACCGTACATCCTCTGTTCTGGTTGTAGTTGTTAATTTGTGTACTTCGCACGTGTTGTTTTGGGCTAATTAAGTACGTTATTTCTTATGAAAGCCTTTTTTGGGTTTATATGTACTCAATAAGATACGCTTTATGTACTGCGTTAAGCATTTTAAAGGAGTATTTTGAATTTTCTTTGAAGTTAGTAACTGGAAGTTGCTTTTGTTTTAAACTAGTGATTCGGTAAACGTTGTTTTGTTGTTCGTTAATTTAATATTATTGTCGATACACTCTTGAGAAATATCCTATCGACCAAATTTGATAACATAGAATGGTTCTTCCGAGTAATTCTTAAAATAATGAAGGATATATACCGCCGCGGACATTGTTAGATAAGGGGAAACATTCAACGAAATCTCTCAAAGTTAAATAATAATATTTTTTTTTTGCTCTTGTTGGTTGCAGCGTGATATTATATATCCTAGAGTCTTCCTCGATTAATGGTCTGGTCTATCCAACCCCTTTTTTTTCAATTTGGACAAGCAGTGTTAAGCGCGTTTGAACAAACTCCACAGCTTTATTGAGTAAAGATTAATAGCAACGTGTCAGATTTATAGTAAAAATAATATTTGTAATCTTTACAAATATTTATATTAGGTTTATATTGAAAGCTCCAATTTGATAACTCGACACTCCTACACAGAGGTCGTCGGTAACTGGATGCAATTTTGCGTAACCCAAGCGGATTGCAGGCGGCCGTAATACAATATGTATATTGGTGCGCGTCCCAATCGCTGGCGAAGGCCACCTGTAATCGAATAACAAGACGCGTACAACTGCCGCCGTCTTCTCCGTACTATTTAGATATGCATCGCCCAGTCTCGGGTGTGTAACGGTTCTTTGTGCTCGGCGAAGTCTTTGGCGTGGAAAACACAAGGAGTCTGCTGTTTGTCGAAATACGTGGGCGGAAATGCATTTATTTTCATTATAAAAGTCATTATCTCTAATGTCTAAGTATACTACTATTATATACGATTTTTAAGTGTTTAACTAATTATATAAACCTTCAAAACAAAGATTTTATTTCAATTATTTAAAAATTCCTACCTTTATTTAATAAAAGTTACATTTAATCAGCGATGGTAGACGTCTAAAAAGTGAAGAGCACGTTTTTTGTCGTCTTACATCCACTTGTAAAATATACGTTAAGCAGATTAATTTCTGAGTGACAAATCTTGTTGAATCGACCAGCAGTATTTGTATTTAGTATTGTCAAAAACGGTTAAAACCTACCTAAGTCTAATAATATATTTGCTCTCTTTCAGCGCTATGGGAGGAACAAGAGACGCCGGAATACGACATCGATTCGGAGGACGAGAGGTGGCTGAAACAGCAACGGCATCCCGAGTTAACAGGTGAGCCTACCCCCGCATAGGCAACGCTATAAATAACCGACGCGACACAAAGGTATGTCCCCGATTCCCGACACGGTCAGGATTGAACGTCGCTGCGCACAGAGCGTCCCAGGATCGGATGACATAGACGAAGTCCAGGCGAAACGCACTCGTTAAGGCTTCATCACACAGATGTACTTTCGTACGATTCTAGCGGTGGGGTGACTCTCAAATAGTATATTGTATACTTATTTGTAATTTTATGAAATTAGTGATAAAAGAAAACATTTACGTTTGTTATCACTTTTTTGAGAATTGCTACTTTTAACCTTAAGGAAGAACGAAGTGATTTGCCAAAACTTTTGCATTGAAAGACGTACTTTAAGTATCAAGGGAGATTGTTGATACTATATTAAACTTAAGTTTGATTTAAATCGAATTGATGCGTGCGAATTGTCACGGTAAGTACGGTTTCTGTTTGGCGCAGCTTTAACGCCAGTGTCTGTTTCGTAAAGGATTGATGCCAATTGACGTTTTAAATATCGCATGCGTCTCTTTCTCATCATTATGCGATGAGAGAGAAACTAAAACATTTTATCGTTTTGTCTCTTTCTTTCAAAAAATGAATGAACTCTGTACGGAAATGATTTGCCTCAATCCTGACGTTACCGGATTCAATTGGGTAACTTATTTGTACAACTATCTATGAGGCGACAGATTAAATAGGCAGCTCAGATTTTGATAAATATTTACAAGTATAGTTTTTTTATAAAAAGTCGTTTAAATGTTAAAATTTGACCCAGATATCTGGAATATCATAAACTTTTTACGACTAGATAAGCATTTTGTATAATTAATTGTAAATCTATTGTAATAATGGAGGAAAGACAACAACCTATGTCCTAATTGGCAAGTATTCGTCCAATCCTCTAGCCACACCGCCGCCCTGAGCTGTCCTTGCCCTTAAACTGCGCCTCTGTCCGGCAAACTCCGTAGACTGTACAAAGGTTACCTTTCAGAGCTAAAGTTCGAGCAGATGATGGACAAGCTGGAGAAGAGCTCTGGGCAGACGGTGGTCACGCTCAACGAGGCGAAACTGCTGCTAGAACGGCAGGACGACCTCGTCATAGCCGTTTACGACTACTGGCTCAATAAGCGTTTGACCACGGTGAGTTGTACGCTGAGAGCCCGACGCGAATTTACCGCTTAGGACGGCTTCGTGTTCAATGTTTTGTTTTAGATGCTACACGAATCTCTAAAATGTCTGTTTTAATTAAACTGTAAAACATTTATACATGTATTGCACATGATAACACTATATAAATAAAAAAAACAGATTATAAATTGAAAGGCTCGACTCGGGCAGGACTTCAACCGGCATCCACAGCGTTCCGTGCTGTTGCTCTAACCAATTGAGCTATAGTGTTCTGCCCGTGTCGTAATTTAAAAAAATGTATAATCGATTTTTAATTTGTCTGTTTTATATTCTCACTTAGTGATCGTACAATATAAAATCATAATTTCAATTTAATATTTGCAGAGTAAGAATCGAAAATTAGCTTTTCAATAATAATTTCGAAATGTCTTAAGAACGGAGTTCTTTAATTATTCTTCCTCTTAAAAGTCTTATTAAACCTTAAGTGATTATAATGTCACCCAAATTTATATTTTCCGAAGTAATTCGTTGATAGCAATCATTCAACATTCTTATATAAACTATTTATATTGAGACAAGCTTTTCAAGTAGGTATGGTCTTCCATACATAAATATGGGTTTTGTTGACGTATGTAGGTTCTTTCAAAAGGTGAAATATATTTTTCACTAAAATTTAAAACTTGTTGGGAATCGAGGAAATATTTACAGCTACACTAGATTGTGTTAAGTCACAGATGAAACTCCTACCGCCACCTAGTGGCGTGTTGAAGCAACTGTGATCTGATGTTGCTCCATAAGTGGAATTAGTTCTCTTCAAATGGTAATCGGAATATTTGCCAGTTCTTTGAATAAGAAAATATTTTGATATCCAAATTCTAGAGTAGACATGAAATTTAGTTTTAAGTTTTATTCTAGCTGTGCTTTCATCATTTTCCAGATAAAGTAAGTTACGTTTTTGACGGACTGGTTGGACGGTAACAATATATGACTAATAATTAACGGGCCGTGGGTTCGATCCCCACCTGGTCCTACATTTTTGTATTCAATGTACCTATAGTTTTTTTGAAACATGTTGGCTTCTGTTTTCGATGTCTGGAAATCTGGATATTAAATGAGCGTTCAGAATATCGAATTTTCGCCCGGCCACGAACCACCGCCTAAAGATTTAAAAGCCATAAAGTTTAATCGCGGCTCGGTTTCAGTCTGTGGATTTCCGAATATCCTAAGCCAAGATAGGTCGACATCGCATCTTGTTGAGGTGTTGTATGGATGTGGTACCTTGACTGGGTCACCTACCATCAGGTGAATCCCATGCTTGTCTGTCTTCCTCTATCATAAAAAAATATCACCAAGTTCTATGACCTAAATGTCTACATTATTTTCCGTATAAAGAATAATGGCGTTTGTTACAGCAACACCCCCTCATACTGTCGGTGAAGACTGAGAACAGGCCGGGTCAGTCGTCCAACAACCCGTACTTGGCGTTCAGGCGGCGGACTGAGAAGATGCAGACTAGGAAAAATAGGTGGGTTAATTAAGACAAAAAGAAAAGCATAGGTAGTCATTTCAATTATAGGGTATTCTTTCCTCATTTCAAAAAGAATGGTCTAACGTAGGATGACAAGTTTAGTGTAAAAATAGCCAAGACCTAGTTATTGGCGTCTACCTCTCTATTGGGTTAGGAACTTCTAAATTTAATTCCTCACTTTAAAATAAACTATATGTTACGTGAGTACTCGGTTCGCTCATTCATTAAAAGATAGGAAATATGTAGGAAGTTTAGTATTGCAGTTTACGAGAGTGGTATATATTTCAGTAGAACACTTTAAATGCTTTTAACTTATTTACTATTTATCAATTAAATAACTTATTTTACATAAAAAAAATAAGTAAACGTTTAGTTAAGTAAAGTAGTTTATTTTGTTCAATTTTAAAAGAAATATAAATCTATTATTTTCAATATAACATTATTTGCCTCGTAGGAAAAACGACGAAAGCTCGTACGAGAAGATGTTGAAACTGCGTCGCGAACTGGCCACCGCGCTCAGCCTACTCGAGATGGTGGCGCGGAGGGAGAAGGTCAAGCGCGAGTTGGTGAAGTTGACGGCGCTGCTCTCGGAGAAGAGATACGACGCCAAGGACTTCACCAATCAGCTGCCGGAACCGCCTGTCAGGTGAGCACCACAGATTATACAATAGGAACTATCTTTAGTATTACTTTTTAAACTACACAAGCTAAACAAGCTATTACACATAAAGTAAATTTAAAACTTTCTATAGGAAAACTTTGGGCCGTGGGTTGAATCTCTACCGGGTCCAACATTAATCAGTTTATAATTTGTCTGGAAATATGGATATTAAATGGGTCGAATATCGAAACCAGGTCACGAACCAACGTCCACTGATTTAAAAGCTTTGAAGTTAACGCGTTTCGGTTTCAGTCTGTGGATTTTCGAACATCCAAAGTCATAGGTCGACAGGTTATCTAGGCTGGGGTATTTTCACCTTTCATCGAATGCACCACATACTTGTCTATATAAAAGAACCTTGCATCGCCATGTAAAACAGTAAATCAATGTTTATTGAAGAAAGCAATAAATTCAAACACCAAACCAACTATTTTTCAACTTAGAAATGAACAAAGTATAAACAACACGGATATCAGTACCGTTCGCCGGGCTCTTTTGATTCACGTAAATTGCGTATGTCTGTCTGTATGTATCTTTCTATGAAACATTCCTTTTTCAGAACCCAATTGGCAGCGGTACCCATCACGAGTCTTCGACGAGATTTCGTTCACGCCTTCCCGCCTAGGCCGCCTTCCACGCCCACCTCGCTCGATCAACATCATAATAGACAGGTATATCTATACTGCTATATTTCAAATCCCTTATTTATGGGTTGCCATATCGCTGCAACAAATTTACACGACTATCACGCTAAATTGAAATGTAAGGAAAAGAAAAAATTGTTTTCTTTTGTTAAAAAGAGTAGTAGAGTTTTTTTTTAGTTTTTTTATTAAATAGTGAAATGTTGAAAGGTGTTTACCATGAGTCGCTTATTCTCAATGTGAAAACGAAATTTCAGCGCGAAAAGCGTCCATACAAGAGACGGAAACATAGGCACCATACGCCCGGTTCTGTTCAAGGAGTGCGAGGTAATTTAGACCTTAATATAACAGTCATAAGATCGCTTAAGAGATCGATTACATTCTTTATCATGGGTTTGATTCCCACCAGATTCAACACGGTTCTAAAATCGATTTATAATTTCTCTGAAACATGTTAGTGAAGTGAGAAAGTGGTTTTGCGTTTCGGTGTTAGTCTGTCGATTTCTGAATGTCCAAAGTCAAAATAGGTCGACAGCACAACTTATTTATGTTATATGGCGAGGTATTTTACCTTTCGTAAAGTGAACTCCATGCTTGCCTTTTTTCCTCTGTCATAAACATGATTTTATAATATTAAATATGATATCAACAAACAAAAAAAAATCTTCATATTAATAGATCACCCACGCATCCCAATGTTGTAACTTACTTAGGTCTGTCAATCTATAAATTGCACCACCAAAATATCGATTAACTATCAACCATTCAATTCTGCATTGCATAATTTCAGAGTGTACATCATCAGAAGAAGAAAGCGTATCACCCATCGATGATGGACCCTTCGCGTTTCGACGCAAGCCGGGCTGCTTCTATGAAATGGTAATTATTTATTTTAACAACAGCAGAATTATAACTCGAAGGTAGTTGTATATAAAGCGGACGGTGGTTCCAATTTAACACATAGAACGAATTATGATACAGCTTGGGCATAAAATGTAATTTTAAACTAATCTAATTTACTGTGGTGGCTGTCTTATTCTATATGGTATTAAGTATTATCAGTAATTGTATTTTTTTCTTTTGAGGAGACTAATGTATTTTCTTGTTGTTAATCAAATTATTTTTTCCAGCCAACGTCAACGTTGTCCGGCGATCCGGTGGAGTCTTCGAGTCCTTCAAAGGATGGTTTGTTCCAGCACGAATTGGATGAGCGGGCGAGGTAAGCCCTCTGACAATATTACATTTAAATATTGTCAGTAGTTTACGCGAGTAGTACACATTTAAATAAAACGTTTTGGCGGGTTTAAAACGCGATATATATTAGTTAAACTTATTGAAAATTATTTTAACTACGGCCCGACGTTTCGGATGCTTTGCAGCAGCCATGTCTCCCCGTGACCACATTGCGTTTTAAATCGTTAGTGTTTTATTTAAATATTACATAGGATCGGTGTAGGGAACACAAATGAAGCCTATCGCATCAGGCAACAATTAATAGGACGGAAAAAACAGTGGAAAAAGTGGGGGAAAATTATTCATCTTTAAGGGTTTTCGTTTCCTGGGCTACGAAAATTATTCTTCTATAAATAATTAAATAAATGTCCCACATTGCGTATGTCTCTTTTACGATTAACTCAGAATAACCGTTGTTATCGTAACCGACTGTGGTTGAACTACTTCATATGGCGAAACCAGGTTGGCCAGGTCAGCTCGTTAAATATAAAAGAATCGATAGCCACGCCTACTTCTAATCTTATTTTAAGAGCAACACAGGATCCAAGCCTCAATACTTATATTAATATATTCCAGGTTTACACTGACCTCAGTACGAAATCCATACCCTCACTACGTGGGATTCGCGCGGCGTCGCGTGGGAAGAGGTGGTCGGGTCATATTGGACCGGGTCAAAACGAATCTAGACTCTCTATGGCCGACTTTACCTATACCAGCTAAGGAGAATGAGGTATGATATATATATAAATAATATATGACCCATAATTCTCCAATTCAATAAAAAACAATGAATGATATAATAACATCCTTATTATTGACATTTTTTACATCTGCGCGAATTTATATAAGGCCATCAAATAATGTGCAAAAAAATAAAAGTATACAAACATTAAACACAGTAATGTTATCTTCAATGATTCCTTAAGCTGCAAAGCAACCACTGAAACCTTGAACTTCAATACATAACAAGTACTAAAGTTGAGATTACAATGTGCGAGAGGTGCATGTATCAAGTTGAAAACAATTCGAAGATGACATGGTAGCACATTTGGTTAACGCCGTGAATGCCGTCTCGCTCGTGTCGTAATTTTTCTTATGTAAATAGATTTTTAATCTTCATTTCTGTTCCCAGGAGGATATTGAGAATCAAAGACTCCGAACGCCCAAAGAAATCACACGCGACTACCATTCGGGCGGGAACTACCCTTGGCGGCACGCGTTTAGAAAGCACCTGGCGAAGAATCCACATCTGTGGGTCGACGAGCAGGCCGACGTCAAAGCCGACGTCAACGACATCAAAATTAATGTCGACGACATCAAGATCGAGATCGACGACATCAAATTCGATGTTGATAGCAAAAATGACGTCGATAGTTTGAAATTGGAAAGTGACTGTGTCAAAATGGATATTGATAGTGCAAATTGTGAGACTAGTGATGTGCATCGGACGATAGATAGTGTTGTGCGAGGAAACCTCAAGAGGGTTATGAGGAAACGGGTCTGGAGTTCGAGTAGTGAATACGACTCGGATGAGAGTTTACATCCTGTTGAGAAGGAGTTTGAGAGTTTCATCAGTGAGGTGCAGGATAAGTGGTAGGTTTCATTTTGATGAATTAGAATTGTGTACAGAAATAAAGTAGGAAAATAGTCATGAACATAACAATTCTCTATATAAGATGTTCCAGTTGGTGGCAATAGCGATGTTAAATATATCACTTATATATCACCAGAATTTTAAATCAATCGTTTTCAATATAACTTGACACTTTTTACGATATAATTTAAAACAAACTATTATTTATCTCCAGGCTACACTTCCGACCGAAAACACCTCCGCCCGCCCCACCGAGCACAGAAAAACAACCAGAAGATCTATTTCCCATCGCCCTAGATACACCTCTATCCGTCGAACTAACAACTGGACCGCCTTCTGGCGCCCTAAACACATTCACTACGTCAGAGTTCACATTAGGAGACCTATATGGAGATGTGAACCCCGATCTAGACAACAGTGGAACGACAGATAGCAACGAGGATCTATTAAATGAAAACTTCACCGGTCTAACGGATGACCAAGTCGAGAGTATCCTCTCCGAGACAGACTTGAAAGCACTAGAAGACGATAAGAAGGCTATATCGGACGATTTGTTAGAAGAATTGGTAAAGGATTCTTTTTTATCGCAAGGCCAGAGCGGTCATGGGCGTGCCGTCTCTGGCCCGAAGCGAAGACGCGGCGACACCTTCGGCTCGAGCAACGTGCAGGTTAGGGCGGAGAAGGAACCGATATATATAGAGAAAATTGCACCGCCCAAGATCGAAACGCCCGTCATCAAACAGGAGAGAGTGCCCACGTCGAAGATCATCGTGGAGGAAGTTAATGAGGTGATTATACGAGTTGTCTTTAGAGTTAATGCATCAATAGATATAATATAAGAAACAGTAACTCACGGTCAAGTTGGAATTCTTTTCTATTCGAATGTGTGACTGGTTTTTATTAAATAAATAAATCAATTGCCAACTAAATTAAAAAAAAAACACGCTACAGATAAAAAAGTCGTGAAGTTTAATCGCGTTTCGACTGCTGTCTATAGATTTCGGAATATGAAATGAGATTAGATTTTATATGGGTATTTCACCATATGCTGAAACCCCCCGTGTTTGCCGGTCATAAAAAAAACCACATACCAAAATAATTGTTTTACATATAGAACTGGAAGGGAATACTATAATATGCCAATAGCAATATATATATACATATTCTTTTCCATTTAGTTAAAACACTTTAACGGTTTAAAACGGTCACGGCTGCCGCAAATCCTTCGAAATGTCGGGCCGTAGTTAAATAATTTTCAAATAAGTTTAACTACTATATATCGCGTTTTAAACCGTTTAAACCGTTAAAGTGTTTTATTTAAATGTATACTACTTGTGTAAACTAAAGACAATATCCTTTTTTCTCAGGTGCCCGTGAAAATTGAACTCAATAAGGAGATAAAAGAGGAGCCGCAACCACCAAGCTTGCAAGTGAAGGCCGTAAAGAACGCACCGGTCAAGAAGCACATCATCACGTCGACGCATCGCCGACCCGCTGACGTCACAATAGTGACGTCAGATGCGACGCACCCGCAGCTAGTTACGGTGGCCGTGTCGGATAGTTTGAAGGTTCTAATTTATATCATCCCAAAAATAAACGTTTTGGACTTTGTGTTCTACTAAAAATGTATAATATTTAAATTGAATACAAGTGATGAAATCTAATACAATTTAAAAGGTGTTCTTACCACGTTGGTTAATCTTTACACGTTTTCTACGCAGCAGGTGCGCCTGAGTAACCAAGCGACTACAAGTCAAGGCACGGTGGTCGGCCTGCTACAGAACGGACCGTTCGCCGTTACGCTTCCTGTCCATTCACAGCGGGACCTCGGTATGTATTTATGGGCAATCCGAAAAAAAAAAACGTATTATGCTTGAAAGAATATAGTATACTCAAATATCACTATTCTGACACAAATTTTAAGTATATAAAACCAATGGTTGAAATAACGGTAAATATGTGCTCGCGCACTTGATAAGTATTGAAGTAGATGTGAACGCATTACTACAGAATAATTTTACGAAAGGCATAGCGGGGAGGTGGATAGGGAGCGTAGGCGGAGTATTACTGGACGTTTCTGTCTATCGAAGTGCCCCATTAATGGAAATCTAACTGTAACTACCTAAAATTTCCCCAAGAACAATGTTATAAATCCTTCAATCAAATACTTAGTTTATTTATTATACAATTTCAAATGTATCATTTTAACTTTTCATCTCCTTTTCCAGCCGCAACTAGCGTGTCGAATGTGGTAACAGCTAGCAGCGCCGGAAAATCTGCCACCGTCGCCAATATATCAAACGTGGCAAATATCCCAACGATCGCCAATGTTTCTGTGGCGAACCCTCGCCGTGTATCCGCGCCTCTCGTCAATCTCGCCCCCACCGGGCTTTCTAAACCCCTTCAAATCCACCACCCTACGGTCGTGGTGGCACCCCAACACCACGTCACGCCCAGCAAACTGAAAGTATTGCACGCCCACCCCCTAACGCATACACAACGCGCTCAATTCTTCTCCCAGAACAGACAGCTCGCTCAACTACCCGCCGTCGTGTCTCTGGCCACCATCGGAGACGCGAAACCACCCACGCTGCTCAAAGCCCCGGGCTCCGTGACGCAATTCTTCGAAATTAAAAGCGGTCAGCTCGGGAAAGGTCCGCATTTGGTTAACGTTCTACGGCATCAGCAGCCCCAAGTTAAGACGAACGTAGCCAGGCTGGACTTCGATAAGAAGCGACAAGTGGTATTCGACGGCACGTTGAAGGGGAATGTGACGGCACGTCCCCAGCGATTCAGTCTGGACGGACGACAGATTGTCCGGACAGCACTCCCTGTCCGGACACCAGTGCGTCACCAGATCCAATTAAAGAACCACAGGGTCCAAGTGGCGACACCGATACGTCAATCGGAACCGTCGACCAGTATAACGATAGCGCAGACCAAAACAGCCTCTATACCCAGTTCGGTAATGGCTAATTTGATACAGAAGAATGTGCTGCCCAAGGGACAGAAGATAGCGATTTCTGGCCCCGCCGGGCAAGCGTTGTCCGCTAATGTACAAGCGATAGCGTTCACGACGGCGCCGTTGAAAGCGAGGCAGGGGAGACTCATCGCTCAGCCGAGGCCCGCGCCTGTCGCGTAAGTATCTGTAACTGTTTATTTCAGTAATATTATGCTTCTATGTCTGGCTAATAGTCAATCATAATAATCGCAGGAAATTTGCCATTTTTTCGTTTTTCCACTGTAGCTGTAGTAATATTCTATATTGATATATTTAGTTTTAGTCATGAACCGAGCTTAGAATCGACTCTTTATTACATTTACTTATAACTAGAGCTAATCTTAAAATTGTATTATTTTTTAGCGATCTCGTGGAAGCCTCAACCGCTCCCGTACCCACTTCGTCAAACTCTGCTAACATCGCCGATACGTCCTTGTCGAACGAAGGGGGCGAGGCGCCCACCAACGGCGCGGTACGAAGACGTGCAACGGACACGTTACCAATGGAGGTCACGTGACAAACGAGACACCACTGCGCTGGAGATAGTGACAGGGTGAAATGTGCTAGTGACAATGCAAAGTGCGACCCGCGAGGTCAATATGGAGTGAAGTGCGACGGAAAACAAGCTCAGCCGAGTGTCAAGGGTGTCGCTAAAGTTGCTAACGCGAAGTGCGACATGAAAATCCAACAACCCGTGTATGACACGAGAGTTGGCCACTCCTTAGTTAATTGTGACTTGAAAATTGGCCGAAACTTAATAAAAACCGACCCAAACCAACAAAACATCAAATCTGACTTAAAAGGGCAACCACAAAAATGTGTCAAAAAACCTCATCAGGGCGTAAAACGAGACACAGTGCAACCGGTGGCACTGTTCGACACAAATGTCGGCCGATATATGACAATTTGTGACACAACTGCAAATGCTAACTTTTTAAGCTCTGATAATGCTGTGGGAATGTATGTCTCCATCGACGGAAATGCTAAACCAGTCTTTAGGAATGTCATATTAGACGTTGGTAATGTGCTGTATAAGAATAATCAGACAGAGTTGAAATTCGCCAATGTATACACTAATATTAATAATTTGAAGAATGTAGGTGTTGAATTAAACAAAAATGTTGGGTTGAGTACTAATAAGATGGATACAAGTGGCACCACAGCAGTAGATAAACAAACAAATCAAGATATGAATTTAACTAATGTATTTGTTAGTGGGAGAGGAACCACAAGTGTCACAATTAACAATACAGACACTAAAACTTCTGAGACTAAACTTCAAAGTTGTGTTGCAATAGAGGGTACTGATGTACAACTTAAAAATACAGAACTTTCAGATATAAAAATAGGTAAAACACCAGATGATGTGTCAAAAAGTGACATAAAAGTTGACACTGATGTGTCGTGTGACGCAGGAAATGGTAGATCTTGTAACGCAAATGCAGATACAAATATCGAATTAGATAATATTAACGTAACTGTGACAGTACAGGACACCAAAACTCAAGTAAATGATGGAAATAAGAAAGAAATCCTGGAAGAAGACAAAAATGTTGAGGATCCATTGCCTCTACTGATTTTTTAGGGAAGTAATTGGTGTAGTCCAAGTTATCTTTTGAGTGGTATGCCTAGCCAAAGTTTTCGGCCAAGGAATCAATTCAAGCTGCCTATATATATTAGGCCTGAATCTTAAATTAAACTTATGTTAAATTGAAGGTGGTATAAGTGGATACTACTTGAGGATGTGAAATTGGCAGAAAGTATCCACTAACTAATTCATAATACACTATTTTATGCGATGAGTAAAAATAATCATTGGCTTTTATTACTTCTCACATACTTCAAAAAACCGAGGCATTTCAAGACAATGTCTCTTTCACCCGGCTCGAAGGACCTAAATGAATCAATTATTATATTAGCGTCTGTCCTTACGTTCCAACAACTGCGACATTGAACATTTTGTCTATTCTAATATAAAGATTACTACGAAAGGTAGAGTTTTAATCGTTTTCTTACCAGATACTTCCGTCAATAATTGTTGCATACACGCAGCGTATTGAGACGCTCGCTTCGTAAAGATAATTTAAGTGGCTGTGAAATGTAGTTAATACACGTTCAACCTTATATCGCGTTGCCGGCCGAACGCGAATTGTAACTTCTCCTAACCGAGATTAGTTTAACAGTTTTCAAGAGCAGTTGCAAAATGACGAAAGACAAATTTTCATTTATTCAAATCAATTAGTGGCGAGGTTGCAATTCTCGTTCAATTAGTAAGCTACTTTTAAAGATATATGTATTTATGGTTTTTCGTCCATTTAAGTAGTACGCACTAGCGCCGTTATTTAATTATATCCAGTAATCTGATCTGTGGTGGTATGCAGATGACAATTAGTATACGCACTAATTCTTATATTATTACGGAATACTCGTATATGGTAATACTTATTTCGTCGAGTAGAAATTTCGTATATAATTTTCGATATACCACGTTTAGACAATTATGGCCGGCAACTGCTCTTGGGTTTTTTAGCGAAACATTCTGTAGTTTTACGTTTGCAGTTATGTAGAACGGTCGAAGCGTATGTAACAGGAATATTATGTAAAATAATTGTATTATATAGGTTTATATATATTATGTATAACTGGCAGGCCCAGTACAAAGTGCGTGTAAGTCCCTCACCCATAGTTGTAACTTGATTCGACGGTAAGACATATTTTCGAATAAAAATCAATATTTTTAATTATTCAATCGATATGTCCAATAATTAAATGTGGTATAAAATTGTATGGTACCGGTATTTCAATAAAAATTATATTGTTGCATTCTTAATGATTTTAGGTAATGGTCGTAATTTTAAAAGTACAGAGTTAAGTGTGGTACTTGCATTGTAATAAAAAGTAGCTTTCCTTAAGCTTCGTGTACTATTGGAAATTCCTTTAAACTACCTACTAATATTGTTATGTTGTAGTTGATGTGTAAAAGTAGATTTTAACTAAAATCCCGGTAATACGTCTCGTCATTGTAACCTCAGGAATAGGATTTTAGTTGAAATATATTTGATTAATCCAATAAAAATGTACTTCTATGAAATTTCTCTTATAATCTGTTGACTATGACGCTAAAGTGAGAATTCAGATAACTTGTATTTTTAGAAACATTTTGTAATAGACCTAAATAATCTACTTCATTCCCGCTTTCGAAGCTCATTTACTAATGAACAGTTTAATTTCCAAGCTTTGTTTTATAAAAAATCAAAATGCCGATTACGAATTGACGGTACCAAAAAATTTCTGTGTAACTTATATCAGTAGTTTAGTGGGATGTGATAGTCACTTAGACACGTATAGATAGTTTGATAACTGCAATCGAATGCCACCTCTCACTGTGTTATTTCTTTCTCGGCTACGGATCGAGTTGATAGTCACTGATAGTAGAACATTCACTGGAACTTGACGGTAGTTTGGTTTTGTTTTGCCTTTCTCTTGTCTCCGCTAAATCGTTGATTCTACTTTGGCCGCTAACGTGTTAATTGGTTGTACAAAATATGGAATTACCAACTCGATCCGTAGCACGCGTTTTGTCCGATCAAACAATTCTCTTAGGAGTCCAAGGAGCATATAAGTATCGTTGTATTAACCTAATGTAATTAAAACATTGGGGATTAAAGCTAGCTATGCGAGTCGTGTTTACGCCTTGTCCTGTTGTTGCTACTTTAAAAAAAACGGCGAGACGGTCTTTCGTAACGGAACAGAGTACCCGAGCCCGCTAAGAAAGGTCGCTCGCAACCAAAAAAATTTAACGGTTTTAACTATGTCTATACATGTATAATTAGTAAGTATCATATACTGTACAAAAGGCTGCAAATTTGGGAAAAAATGTAAAAAAAATTGGCCTCATTTTTGGGGCCGTTAACATACGCTTAGTAAAGTGGATAGGAAGACGTTTACCTCATAAGTTTCTGATTTTTAGAATTAGACGCGCGCTCGCACTTTGAATTCGTTCCGAGAGGGCTTTTTCAGACTACCCTCGCGCTGACGCGTCGTCTTACTTTCCTTGTAAATATTATTATTACTATTATTTTATAATTATTAGTTATTTTTTAATCTGTCCGCGAGCGCGGTGCCGTGTTCAAAGTGTGGGCGGTTATAATAAATTGCTGTAAATTGTTTGTAAAATAGTCATGTTCAGAATTTCAGTGTAGTTTTGTTGATTATTTTTTTCAACCAGAAATTGCTGAAATAAAGCGACAATTCTGTTTATATCTTGTTTTATTTACTGTCAATGTTCTGGATTCTATACTTTTACTTGGAAATGCCTTACATCATAATATTTTCTTCTATTCATGATTTATATTTTTTAAATGACGTATAAAAATTCATGGCGCAAGTGTGCTGATACATAGATCCTGACTTGTTTTTACGTCTATTTAAAAATGAAACAACACATTTCAGAAGAACGCTTTATTTGATATATATACAGTGGCTAGCCGCATCCCCAGTTTTATTTTATAAAAATATAACTTTGAATGTGGACAAAAATTCTGCAAAATGAATATCGTATATTGTTTCAATGGCGACATCGGAACAGTTATCGACGAACATACCCACGTCAAAATTGGAAATATCGCACCAAAAACATAAGTAGTGTACGGAACAATAACGTTAATGTGATAAATAATTATTCGCGATTAAACAAGAGAAATAAAACAATGCATATTCATTGTTCAGTAAAAACGAGTATAAAACAATGACAGAATATTAATATCTTATATATACGAAATGGAGATATATTCCTTCAACAAGTTAATTGTATTTTACTACAATTCAGTAGATTTCTGTTAAATATTTCGCTTAAATTACGTGTTTTTTTTTTTTACTTTTATGATATAGTATTTTGTTTATCAGCGAGTAAAAATATTCGAAAATGCGTTCTAGGGAACCCTTGCTGGCGTGGAAGGGAATCTTACCTCTACATTGAGAGCCACATAAAACAAAAGGTTAAATAAAAAAGAAAACGTAGCGTTTTTTTTATATTTTTTAATACTTTTCGTATTGAACAATTTTTTGGTCAACATTATTGGGTCACCCGTATGATCGTGATCACGGACTACAAAAAAATAATGTATTTAGGGTTCCCCGAACGTATTTACCGAACGAGTTAAGTCATAGAGCAAGGGCAGAACAGGAAATCGGTAGAAGAAAATATTGTCTATTGTAATTTCTTTATATTTTTCTATTATTTTGCTCTACGAATATAACTCGAGGGCGAACCAACGATTACGTATACAATAACAGTATTAGATTACAACCTTGATACCTGAAAATCTGTTATATCACATGATTTAAGAACGTGGCCGTTTTAATATCCTACTGCTCCGAACATTCACTACAGGGTGAAACGTAACGAGTAGTTAAAAATGATTTTAAACAAGTTTAACTGATATATTTCGCGTTTAAAACCGTTTTATTTACTATTTCATTCGTATAGCAAACAAGATGGACTCTTCTCATTGTTCGTTAGGCTTCACCTTTGACCACCTCTAGCAAGGCCTAATTATTTAAAATCAGCTCTCATGTCACTTGGCGAAACGTTTAAGAGACTCTTTGAGAGGTGAAAAGTTAGGTATTAAATATGTGTTAGCGTTAAGACCCGTTTTGCTTAAGTTCTAAAATGGTTACTTTTAACTAAATATCGTTACCATTTAAAGAAGTGCCTATAATTAATGCGGACTCGATTTTACAAAATATACATTCTTAGCTCACTAGACGTAAACCTACACTTAACAAGTTTAGAATTATTTTATCGATGTTTCATATAATCGATTAGACTATCATAATTTTATGCACAGATATGGATACGCGCAATGTCTTTGGATATAAAATGTTATGTTCCTAGCTAAGTTCAACCAATTCAAGGTGGCATCTTGGCTCGGAAATATTTACGGGACATTAACAGAGAAGGACGGCCAAGCACGGGGTCACTTTTTTACATCTTTCCCTATCATATATCATACGGGTGGAATTTTGATATTCTTTGTATTCCAACATTTTTCAGAAAAAATATAAATTGGGAAACATGTTTTACCCGCTGGGGGTCGAACTTGCGACTCGTTAAGCCCGTCAACCTCGAGTCGTTTGGCATTCACAGAAGACGCCGCCTTAAATTGGTTCATAAATAAATCGGCTTGAGTAGCTATGTTTGTTCGCGGCCTTAAATTTATATTTTTATTTTATTTTTCATTTATTTACCTTAAAGCTAATTAACTTTATCATAAGAATAGTCACTTAAATATATTATCTGACTGTTTATTAGAATGTGGTTTCGTGCTTTTGTACTAATTGGAGATTACTATTATTTTTAATCGCGCGCGATATTTTGTCTCGTTTTATAAAATGTAACGCGTGGCTAAGGCACACTGCGAGTTTTAGGTTATAAAATCTTTTTTAACGTCGATAAGATTATAAGAAAGACAGTTCTTTCTCCTTGGACCGGCCATTGAGAATTTTTTAACCGGGACAGTGGGCGATACATAATTTGTGCTAATTTCGTTAGTGTTGATATGTTAAAGGCGCGAAAAAGCGGACAAATCAATGGATTCTAGTCCACGCAGTTTGTCGTCCTTTAGTTTTCCTAAGCCTTCTTTTATTATTAAGCATACCTAATGTACAATTTAAGCCCTTAGCTGGACTTCGAATGAATTTTCAATTTCGTCGAATCGCCATCGTAATGGGTCGTATATCCATTTCTTCAGCATTATCCCAATGTGGAGTATTTATTTTTGCCACTGAATGTACTATATTAGTGTCCAATCCACAAAATTGCGGTTTAACGGTTTTATTTTGTATGTTGCTATATATGTTTCGCTTGTTTAATTTCAATAACATAATAACAAAACTTAATATCGACTGTTAGAAAGCAAATACAATGAAATCGCCAAGTCCTGTACAACGAAAGAAAGGAGTTTTCAATACTTAAGTGGCAAATCATTGGCACGAATTGGGTTCAATCAGACAGGCCAAATAAATATTCCAGGTAATTACGAAATAGGTGAAAAGAAAATTTTCCTCAAAGAAAAATTTCATATCCGACGATTAAAAACAAAAACAATTTAAAAGTTAAGTCTTTCTATTCAACGTTTTGATTTTCTCTATAAAAGTAGCACGACAGGATTTTTAACAGTGAACTGTAGAACGCGCTTAGTCTAGCCTTAATCTAATATAAATGGTATTTCCAAACTAACAGTTAAGGAACTTTTACAATATTATTGCTTTAACACGATCATCAGCGAGGGTGGGTTTTTTAATCGTTAGGTTCTAGAGTGAATGTGACGGTAGTTGTCGCACGCCAAACCACTCCAGCGCATTAGGTGGCTGACGATCAAAAAATCGCCCCAACGGCGAGTTCAAGCTAGTTTTAACTAGAAGGAAGTTAATGCAAAACGGGTCTATTATAAAATCAGTCTACGGCACCGAGACTAATGTACAAAGACTAAATCGACCAACACTATGCAGTAGTTAGCAGATTAATTGTGTAAAAAGAGGACCTGTATACCTACTATTAAAAACAAAATAAAACAAAGATCTGTTTCAGTTCAAACACAACAAGTAACAAATCTCTTTCTCATTATATTTTGCTTATTTTAAAAAAGTTTCTGTATATTAGAATCGGCACCAATATTGGACTACTTAAGATAAATTTTACAGCCAAACGTGGGCTTAAAGCATGTACTTTAACATTACTTAATATCGTTTTATAATCTGTCGCGAAATTCGATATCGAAATTATAAAAGAATATTAAACAAGCGAAAGTCAAGCGGATGGCTGTTACACGTAAGAGTAATTTTGTATATACAACATTAATTTTAACACAATTTCATTTTATATACACAGATTAGTATTTTTGGACAATATTCATCACTTCGAAAGCTGAAGAGGTAATAATGGATCTATTACAAAAATATTCAATATACATTCGTAAGTCGACGAAAAAAAACCTAACAAATCCTTTGTACACAACTGAACACGTTTAAATGCTAGCGATGAATCGTCCATAGTGACAAACAATGCCCAAAGCATTCCATTTAAAAAAAATTCGAAAGCCATTGGGCGGCGTTCGAAGACCGTTGACTGGCATTCGAAAATTAAAAAAAAAACCGTTACACTACACTAGTGAGGTCCATTTGTTGTTGAGGAACGTCGACACACGTAGCGCTAGTGTCGCGATGACGTCACTTTCCCGGATGTCCGTTTCCGAGTGTTTCGGCGACCTGCGGAATACGAGCCGTTTGAGCGCACAGCCGTGTGTCGTCGTTCCTAACGAGGCTGCAAGGGGTTTACCACAACACGCCCACCGCAGACTGCATATTGCACAGGCCTCGGTTCAGATCGTGTAAAAAATTAGACGACACCGTTCATACTAATTTCGAACACCACTAAACCGACAACCAAATATGTCGTCTGCGGAGGGTCTTAAGATATTTCCAAATGTTCTCGTAAGATCAATTAGTCGGTACCATTGGAAATAACTTTCGGAACAGTAAGCGCCCAACGGAGTTACTGGTCCGATGTGTACTGTGGCTGCGCGCATGGCGGTGTGGATTAGTGGAAAATGTGAGTGATTTACCACCGCCACGCGTATAGCACTTTCAAGGTTCCATTCGCTCGTTTATGAGCCAAAAAAGGTCTGCGCAATGGAGCTTTGAAATAAGAGACCCGCCACCAGAGTTTTGTAAAGCGAGGGAATACCGGGAGTTATGTTGTGAAAACCCATTGAAAACCCTGTTCCGCACACCGTCAACCCACGGTTAGTACATACTCATGGCGGAACAGAAATCTTCTAGCCCCATAGGTCACGAAATACACAGCTGCGCGCGCAAGCTTACATTTAGCTGTTACACTTATAAACTGAGAAATTATAACATAACAGCCAAACAGAGAAAAAATGTAATACCAACCGGTGCTTTAGGACCGTGTATATAAATGTGAAGCAAAACAATTATAATTCACACATGCAAACAGTGTCAAATTTATAAATATATATAAAACTTGGAAAGCAAAGTTGACTCGTGTAGAATCTAGGAAAAGTGACGGTCAATTTTGCTGGATGTGGTCGCGATCCCTGTTAAGAACAAGATTGTTAGGTAAAGTTACATAAATGAAATTCCATAGAAACTTTCACAAATTACACTTTTAATATTAAACTCGATAATGTCTTATCGAAATTTACAAATAAACTATTTACATTTTGTCAAAACTGCGAAATCAATGTAATCTCATTCGAACAAAGTATTAATTTAAACTTAAACGAAAACACAATTTAAGTACTTCTGCATAACATGTCAAATATAATCAGATTTATAATTAGTAAAAATAATGGTAACAAAAATGGCACGCCTTCAACGAATTAAGGGCCACAATTAAAAAATATCTTACTAAAAAAAAACGCTTTTAAAAAATATTTTTGAGTTAGACTTTTCAGGAAAACAAAATAAACAATTTCGTTCTAAGACTACGATATAAATAGGCCTCAAGTCAATGTGAGAGTATTTTTTTTAATACTTCTCTATCAGGAACGGAAGTGACCCTGTTTCCTTTCAATTTGAGCAAGCAACTAAAACTAGCGATAGTCAAAAAATTAAAGCTTAAATGGTAATGTGTTCGCAAATAAATAAGTGGCGATTGTTGTGTCACTGTCGAAAACATCTTTTTTTTGCCTTTTAAACTATTTTTTTAACCACTGTCAAAGTTCAGTTACATATAATTTAACAGATTCATATTTTCTTTTTTTAAACATCAAAATCGCCACATTTTTTATCACTCGTACAATTTTAAACTTACACTAAACAATACACGAATGTATGAGAATGGACAAAATTACTCATGTCAATTAACCTATCGATTATTTACACTTGAAAGTAAGTTATTTACATGTAATAATGGCAGTATGAGCTATTTTATTTACTTATATATTTTTTTATTTTCTAGAAATATTTCTATGACCACGTTTTTATAAAACATTAGCTTACACCTTTTACAAGGCAATAACTTCTCTGCTCTAAATCCTAAGACCATTGTACACGAGTTATAAAAAATATAAACTTTGAAACCTATATTAGCTATAAAAATGTTCTATGAATTGGAAAAAATACTAAATTATATCAAACAAAATATCTACTAAAACTAATATTTAACAGTTTGTTAACACGCATAAATATAACGTTGGAATGATTTTCTTGATAAGCACCTTATGTAAAATTTAAGTGTAAGTAGACATTGAAATATTCAAAGATATATACTTCACATACAACATAAATATATAGATACAAGACAACAAGCAACATTCATAGACATCTTACACTATATGGGATAATGTCTAAACTTTCATTTAGTATATAAACATTTATAGATTTTGCGAGATATTGTTCAAAATATGTTTGATAATTTATGTATAGGTCGCGGCACGGACGTTTAGCGCTGAACGAAGTGTGAACGAGTATTTGTTGCGCATCTGTGCAAAAGCGCACGTAATTGATCGGAAAAACGTGACTGTACTCGGGAAGCAAGCGGAGTATCGTATTGGTCCGAGAAAGACAACACGACTGGGGAACCAATCAAGGCTAGCGCACATGACGTTCACTCGCCCCGCGCCCGGTTCCGTCCATTCGATACCTTTTTTTTTACTTCTGCGCAGGATTCTATCAGCGCTAAAGATCCGTGCCGCTACTTATACTTTATAAAACGGACTAACAAATATATTCTTACTAAAATATATTTTGTAATTTGAAATCGAAATATCTTGATATTATGATAAACCCTGCTATAGTCCAAGAAACATAATATAGACCTTTCTTGCTTAGTCTAGTTTCTACTCAGAGAATAAAGAGAAAGAATATATCAAGAAAGATATAGCGGTAGAAAGACTAAAGAAATCTTTAGTATCAAGAAAAGTATTGATACATAAACTTGTGTGAATAAAAGGTAAAAAATATATCTATATATTATAAACAAATATATATGTTATATAAACCGTGATAAACAAGTGCTATGCTTAATAAATGTAGATATAAAAATAATCTTAGAAGAATAGGAGTCATGCTGTGAATATAAAAATATTTGTCCCTTTGTAAATAAACTATAAAATGTCAACAGTAACCATAGTAACAGCTCTAGCATTCATTAATGTGGTCTATTGGCAAATTTTGACTATGGAGTAGGTTGTCTACATATGCTTAAAAATGGACTTGCAATGCTTACTACTAAAACGCCGACAGATCTTACTTGACTTATAGAGTTAGACACTAGAGGAACCGAAATGTTTGATCTGACCTTTGATCGGTATCGTTACTCTGTCCCTTATACAAGGGGATTCTACTAGCGTATAATGGTGGTAAGAAGTCAAAATTGGCCAAAAGACCGTCTTCACTCCGGCGGTGGCGGCGGCACTGGAGGCGGAGGCATTGCAGGCAAAGGCGGCTGGTTTTGATTTTGATTGTGGTTTTGACTATGATTCTGATACATCGGATTAAAAAAGTACCCGTCCATCATACCATAGTAAAATGGAGGGGGCGGCTGTACCATATAGTACGGTAGAGGAGGTCTAGGCCTATACGGGGGAGGAATATTCCAATTGCCTACCTTTGGTAACTCCGGTCTTGCCATTTTCTGTGGTGGTCCACCGTCCATGTTCGTCCTCTTTCTTGAGTTTTCCAAGACGTCCTTGGAGATTTTGATCTTCAGGCCGGACGTGTGGGGCTGCTGCGGGGGCGGAGGCGGGGCGGCCAACCTCTCTTTCGGGATCTTTATCTTAAGCCCGGGGCTGGTCGACAGTTTCTCCCTGGGTATCGTGATCTTTAAGCCGTCGTTCTCCGGCTGCGGACTCGGTTCCTTCTTCTTATCCTTGTCCTTCTTGTGCTTTTTCCTTTCGTCCTTTGATTTGTCGCGATCCTTGTGTTTGTGTTTCTCTTTCTTCTTCTTGTCCTTCTTGTGTTTGTGTGAGTCTTCGGTTGGTGGGTGCAGGTGCGGTTGCGGTTGGTTGTTCTGCGGCTCCGGTTCCTGTTTCGGCACCTCTATCACCGGTTCCTTCTTGATTTCTATTGGAGACTTTTTCTCTGTGGCGACCGTTATCGGCGCCGGTTTCGCCAGGCTTTCCTTGAGCAGGTTGGACACCAGCGTGGGGTCCGTCTCTATTCCGTTCAGCGCTCTCGGCTCTGGTTTTCTGACCTCCGTCCTCTGTTGAGGCATGTGTGTCTTTATCGCGTTGCCGCGTTGCGAATCTCTCACAACGTTCTCGTAGCCGGGAGTCTCATCTATTTTCTTAACTACAGGTACTAATTCTGGCTCGGAGTTCGACGGCAACCTTTGCCGTTTATCTTTGGGCGAGGAGAAGGGGGATAGGATGGCGGGAGGCTGCATTTCTCGAATGGCAGACGCAGCATCCGGGCGTTTTTTGGGACTCGGGGGTTTATGGTTCTCTTGTTGCGGTGGGATCGGTAGTCGTGATTCTGCTTTTGGTTTGGGGGGAGGCGTCGGATGCTGGGGAGGATGTCGCCTGGGTTGCGCCGCTGTGGCAGCCGGGGTAACATTCTCAGGAGAGAATAGGGATGGCGGTCGCGTTCTTTGGGGTATTTCTTGGGGTGGTTGAGGTTGTGATTGTGATTGTTGAGGTTGGGATTGGGTTTGAGAAGGTTGTGACTGTGATTGTGTTGGAGGAATGGGTTGCCTATGTCTATCGTGGGGAGGTTTGTGATGGGGGGGTTTATGGGGCCAAGAGTGATGCGCTTTATGTTGGTTAGGCGGTCTGTGGTGGGGATGGCTTTGAGGGGGTTGACTGGAAGGTCGAGATGGAGGCGGGGGGTTGCCAGGTCTCTGCATTGCCTGTTGCCGTCTCTCTCTTTCCTCCCGCTCTCTTTTCTCTCTGTACAGATTGAAATCAATTTTCTGTGGTTGGGGTTGACTCGGTTGTGAGGTTGCGGGAACGTAACCACCGGGTGCCTGTTGACGCCTTCTTTCACGTTCGTATTCTGTTGACAAAAAATACTTATTTGGGGGCCACATATAAAATATGTAATATATTTACGAAATAATTACTATTCATAAAATTTTTACTTTTATATACTTTGTCTAATGTAAACGATGGTGTTGTAGGATTCATTATCAATTCTTTCTTACCTTTATCAAATGACTTATCAAACTCATCGCTATTGGCTAAACTGTGTTCCTTCTTCCTGTCGAAGGGCGACGCTACGGCAGAGTTGCTCGGATGTGGCGCGTTTGGCGAACTGCCACCTTTTTGGCAAAATAATATTTAATTAAAGTTCTTCAAATTCTTCGACCGAAATACAGAAAGATTTACAGATACATTTAAATTTGAAGAACCGTGACAAACACGAGAAATTGCAATTATTTTTTCATGACAGTGGAGGAATCAATAAAAACTCACTTGTGTTGGACATCGTCATCATTTTCTTCTTAAGCCTAGATGGACACTTGTCGAATATGTGAAGGAACTCAGCGGTCAGGCGTTCTAGAAGATCCGTTGTAACAGTCCTGTCCACATATGAGAACCAATGTCTACCCTCATGGGATTGAGGTATCTAAAAATTTAAATAAGTATCGAGGCTTATAATTTTTTCTTAAATATGTATCTTCTTTAATATATTTTTTTATAAGAATAATAGACTGTACTAGTGTCATTATCAAAAAGAATTCATCCACCTACCTGCCAATTGCTCCATTTGGACGCCAAATGTATACAAAAGCAGGCGACGACTGTCGGTCTGTATTGTAGGCACATTGTCGTCAAATGTAGACTGTTCGACGCCATAAAGTATGATGTTTGAGCTAGATCCTTTGGTGCTGAAGAGAAAAAGTTTTCGTTAAATTACGTAACACAGGGTGAAGCGATAAAACAAGAAACGCATCTCTAGTTTTATCGAACACCCTGAATATATCATAACAATATGAAATAACAAGTGAATAAGGTTGGCATTATTATTCTAGACATGTGATGGAGAAATAAAAAAGTTTTTAATTATGTAAGCGTACTTACGCAAATTTTAAATGCTACCACAGATACAAAATAAAATAGATATTAGTTTCTAAAACATAATACACTAGTTTTATAATATGATTATTTATCAACTATGCTAGTATCTCAATAGCTATAATATAAACATTTTTGGTTTTGAAGGAAGTTGTATATATATATTTTGTTGCACTTTATTTATATTTAAACCAACATAAACAGTTGTTTGCAACTACACATGCTGTGATTTGGTGAGGTGAAGTGCACTTAATTCTAATATGTATTTTACATACCTTTCGTTCTAATACTTGGCCCTGGAAAACGGCTGTGACGCGGGCATACGATTTGGCATGTGACTTCCATTTTTAATAAGGAAAATTCAGACAAACCTGTTCGAAACACTGGAACTCCCTTGGTAGTTTATAATTAAAAGTACAACCTAGCTTATAAATATTCAGACAAACTATTTAGGGAGGATATGTATATATTACTGTTTTAAATGTTAAAGTTTGTAATTTCATCTTTAATGATTTTTTAAGCTGCAAAGCATAAGACATTGACCATTGATCCTTAATCCACAACTGTTAAGGTTGAAATTGCATTGCGCGAGAGGTGCATCTATCAATAGGTTGAAAGAATTCGACAATGACGTGTAGGACTCGGCAACAGCATGGAACGCTGTGGATGCCGTTTCAAGTCCTGTCCGAGTCGTAATTTTTATCAATTTACACTCGATTTATAATTTACAACACGTACATTTAAGAATAAATGATACGCCCTCTAATCTAATTTGCACATCTATAAAAGGGGAAATTTTTAGCTTATCACATTATCAGATAAGTTAATATCGAGATGGCATTGCTGATGTTTTAACAGAATTATCTCGGATCATATAGATTCGTTTAGATAGTAATTATTATTCACATATACATAATTATATACATTTATTATGTCATTTTTTTAATACAGAGGAGGACAGACACGCATCGGGTTCACTTGGTGGTAGGTGAAAAATCCCAGCCATATAACATTTAAAAAGATGCGCTGTCGGCCTATTTTGGCTTTGGATATTCGGAAATCCACAAACCGAAACGCGATTATACTGTACAGCTATAAGGTAATATGCGAATTATCAACAGCATTTTAAAATAGGGTAAAAGCGCCATTACAGGCCGAACTACCGAAACCGTAACCCAGAACATGCAATTCAAAAATGGAAGTCACCGTCCACAGAGTAAAAATGTCAACCGAATCGTTCCCGAGCGTCACGCGAGCCGCGCGCACGCCGCTACGTGCCTATTCGATACCGTACGAAAGCACGTCTCACCTTTTACAAGGTGACATGTCCGTACGACGTGCGTGTGAGGGTGGTCGATAGCGACATCGAACCCTAATGTCTGTAGCAGAACATTCTCGTTGAATACTAAGTCTTGAGCCTGAAAGGGAATTTCAGCGTTTGTATAGCACTTCTTTCTTTATGTGACTATCAGCTGAAATTGATTCAAGAATTATAAGGGTAAAATCACCTGTTCCTGATATTGTTCGGAGCTGGTGAGAGCGTTCACACCCTCACCTCTGTGGAGGCAGACGTGTGCCACTTTTATTACATATTCTAATTTCCTCGGCTGTTCCTCTACCTGAAATAGCAAAATGATTTATTAATTAAAGACAAAACAATTTGTACAGAGTAAATACTGTGTGTGTGTTCCGGTAGGTTAAAATTAAAAAGCAAATGGAATAAAATAAATACCCTTTTAACGGTCTATAACGCGAAATATTTTTGTTAACTAATATTCGGATGACACGGTCACGAGGCCTGAAGATGGAGGGTGTCAGCAAAGTTGACTTTGACATTATGTTGGGCCAACAGTTAAAATAAATTGTAGTTTAATATATATTGTAGTGTAATAACTGAATCCATGTTGCTCGACATGGGTAAAGGATCTACCAAGTGACGTTGCTTGTCTGTTATAGAATAGTACCAATAACATGAACACTTACCTTTGCAGCAAGGAACAGCGCCGCCGCCGCTATAGCATTCCTGTGAAACTGTGTGAAGGAGTGGAACGCATAGAAACGATGCATATATACTATCGCTGTGTTTATACATAGCTGTGAACTGTTGTGCCGTTAAGGAAATATCATGTTAATATCTTTGTGTACATAAGGAAAACTTACAATTGTTATGACAGCATTCAATACTGTACAACAATCATTAACTATTCTTTTATACTTGGATGCCCAAGTTTAAGATCTAGATGGCTTATACTTGACATCAATACCAACAATGAGAATATATAATATCCAGATAAGAGTAAATTATATGCAGAACAAGCAAAAGTGTATCAGTGAATACAGCTTATAAAAATTCACAAAGCAGTCTTTTCAATTGTATTGTATAACATTCATTTGAATAAGAAATAGTAGTATTTATTTCAGCATTTATCAGAAAAAAAGACATAGATTGCAATGTCAAACAGTATAAAATTCTACCGAAGATTGGAAGATAACTTTTTTCATGTATATTTACTATGTACCTTGGGCTTTTGAATAGTGCTAGTTTGTGGTAAAAAAACCTTAATACGCATTTCTATTATTGAAGGGGGCTATGAAAATAAATTAATATTTTTAAAATAAACCATTTAACAAGTTTACTACGCGAAATGTAAACATTTTGACCAACGTGCCGGGTTTTTGCAAGTTGTGGTCAAGGGGAGACCCCTAACGCTACGAGTCGCTAAATAACGAGTTGATCTTAGCTACTTAATTTTAATGACAAAACCACTCTAATTAGCGCAGTTATGATAAAAATAATTTTGGCAATGACATAACCAGAAGTGTGTCAAGCTCATTGAAATCTTTTGAAATTTTTCATTCAAATGTAGACTTCAGATGAACAAAAAAGTGAAAGTGGGCGCTGTACTGCAAAAAAAAATCAGGTCAAACTTTTAAGCCATGAGAATATAAGCCTAAATGCTAACTTTCTATGATATATTGAGCAATTTCAGTGAGACCAACCACTTGAACACTTGGTAACAATGGAATGAAAGGTCTGGTCTCCGTTTCACTTCACTAGGAAAACAATACTGGACACAGGACTAAAATAATTAGTCTTTCCTGTTGGTTTTATTTTACTTGAATAAATTAGATTTTTTTTCTTTTTTATACTTGTACAATTTATATCCCTACTTAAGTATTAGAGGTTTAGTTTTTTAACTGGAAATGTTGCTCAGATAGTCATGTAAATAGAATTTAAGTTTGTTTCACTTGACAGATTAATTTAGACTACAACAAAATAATTTTAATTTTAATGCTTAATTAACATGATTGTAAATAAATACCTGCTACATATGGCAGCTTTAAGTACAAAAAAATATTAACAATATAAAATTCAGTTTCCTTAATTGAGTTATTATAAAGAAATGTACATGAGTCACACTCCTTAATCAATTTCCTTGCATTTGTTCAAGTTGATTCAGAGAAGCAAAGCAAATATTTTGTATCAATGAGTCATTGAGGTTAGCAATTGTTTTTAACATTTTTCATCACTTTTATGGTAAACTTTTTCTTAATCTAATAAAGACAGAGATTAGGTTCCACGGCTGGGCAGAGCTCTTCTCTCATGGGATTAGTTATTACGAGCTTAAACCCACCAGTTAGGCCAGCGTAGGTTTGTAAAAGGGTAAGAACTGGTACTAGGAGCTTAACATGCTTGAGACATGGAGATCCTTACCCTCACTAGGAATTTTCTTAGAAAAGTTCCAAATACCGAAATATCTACATTTGCCATAGACTGACATGCAACCGAAAAGTGTCTATATATATATCTTATTATTTTTTCTAAAAAGTAATAACAAGCCCATTTCTTGTAATGTGACAATGTTATGGACAACCTTTTTTATTAAATATTGTAAAATCATTACTTTTTATTAATTCCTTGAAATATCTGTCAGTTTCTAGATAAAAATAAGAAGGTACATAAAACTGAAACTTTAAATTTCTTCAGAATAAAGCTACAGTGACTGTTATTTTTTGATACAAGATACTCAATTCAATATATATAATATTCAATTGTCCTAAAACATATTTAAAAGGTTTAGGACAAATCTGACCACTTTTTTTGTAACTCTTAAAACTTAATCATTTCTAATATCCTTTAAATAAAGACATTTCTTGTAAGTGTGACTTTGGTCATTGACATTGTGATAGCACTAATCATTTGGAAGGTTACGCTGGTTCAGACGGGATAATAAGACTATCAACAGTTCGACCTTGACAAAGTACAAATCATATCTTCCTTGTTGAAAGGAGCATGTTTGTTATGTAGTAGTTTATGACTGTTTTTAACACCTTATTGTGAGTAATCAATTTATTAAGTAAACAGGGGATCATGACTCCTACAAAGTATGTGATAATTATATATTTTGCATAAAATAAAACATTAAAATTCAAGCAAAACAATAAATAACGATTTAATATAAAATAGAGGAAAATAAGACAACCAGGTACAGTAGTACAAAAAGACGAGGACCTGGATACCAAAAGTAAATGTTAGCTAAAAGTCTGACGGTTATGGAAAGAGATTGGAAGAAGCTTTTATCCCAATTTAACAGTGGGATCTAAACCCAAATTTAAACTCCACTTCTAGGTTAAGTTAAAAGTAAATCTTTTTTTTATATACAGCGTTTAATGAGTCATATTTAAAGAAGAATTTACAAATTTATTGTAATCTAACTATATTTATTGCTCAATAAATTGTTTTTTTTTGTCATTTTATCAACATTTAAGTTTTTAAAGATTATTTTTTATAAATAACCTGCATTTTAAGTGTTATCTGTTATTATTTGATCACATGAACAGGAAAATAAAATGTTGTGGCCATTTTTTTGTAAATGGCAAAGCCAGGTAGAGACCTTTAAGGCCTGCCCTGAAGAATAAAAGGTAGGTACAGGTACCATTTGATTCTATTGAATTTGCAGGTACTCCACCTGTTATTTTATATATAGATAATGTTATAGTGCAAAAAGGTTTTTCTCGAAAATTCAGGTACTTAGTTGTCTCATAACACTACAATCTAAAGTAAAGGGCCCAATTAATAAAATAAAATTTACAAGTATTTTAAGTAAAATATTTAAAGAAAAATAATTAAGCTGGCATAGGCTTGTAATAGTAAGACAGCAAAACTTTGAATAATTATTTATAAACTTTAGATAATTTATCATCACTATAGATTTATAGTCAAAGGTTAAATTCTAGTGAATGGGATATGGCGGAAAAACTACTTGGGCTTAGACTTTCTATGACCAAAGATAAGGCTTTGGAAATAACATGTATTTTGATTTATACCCATTTATAAAGAGATATGATTGTGTAGTTGAGTATGTTATTCATTATCTACTATGGTATTTACTTATAACTGATGTGCAAAAGTAACAGGAAAATAACATCACTTGTTTTGTTTACATTATATGGAGTGGGCGGTACACAAACCAAGTTGGGCCAATTCTACGCACCAGATGCAGATTGCTACAAGAAGGCTGTTTAAGTTCAGAAACAATTATAAACACTACTGAATCTACTTTTATTAAATTTTGGATGTCCTGGCACTTGGCATTCAACCACAAGATGTATAATAATTATACTTATAATTTTAGTAATTTCTGTTAAATTAGAGGACTTATTATTAGATATAGATATTGGTTTGTTTAAGTTTTTTGAAAGGAAATTGTATCTCAACGTTTTCTTGTTATGTTTGTAATAACAGTTGTGTTATCCTTATCTTAAACATGCATGACATTCAAGTATCAAATAATGCAATCAACATTTTGCGTAGTATGCACTATACATAACAATTTTATCGCATTACACGTGCTTCTAGGAAGCGAAATGAATCATTTTACCGCGCAATTTGTTGGCGGTTAATTTCGGAGCCAGACAAGCCCTACGTCATCAAAATTCGCACGTTCACGCAAGCGTTAACGTCCTACACCTACGATTGTTAATGAAGGTGCAGTGACCTAAAAAATAACATGCCTCACGTTTTTATAACCTTCTTAGACCTTAATCAACGAAACTTCTAGACGAGGATAAGACAATTGCCTAACCAATGTTATAAATATCGAGAATACTCACGGGAAATCCCAGGTTATGAAGCGAAAGTGACCAAACCGACGCCGTTACCTCAAGATTATTTCGTCATGGTTTTTTCACAAAAACACACCCACAGCACGATTTTATCAACCATGGCTCGATAATAGCACGTAATAACGCTGGTTTCATAAATAAAACACTGTTTAGATACACTTTAGCACGTTTTAGCCCACATGACTCGACAAAAACATTGAACTTCACTTATTGAAAAGGATACACTTGGAGCCTCTGGCCCATATCCTGGATGAGATTTGCGGCCTGCTGCCGATAAGCAAGCTCCTTATCTGCATCTAAACCGCATTTTCTGCTTGGTGAATTCTGTAGTTGATCTTTTGTAAAATACCATTTTTCTTGTCCACCAGCCATTGAACGGATGTTCCAATGACTGCGTACGAAGAAGCACGACGGAGAGTTCCTCTCCGTCTATGTGCGTGAGTGGGAAAGGGATAGCGCTATTACAGCGACTAACGGATGTAGAACAAGTTAACATTTGAGTGATTTATAAAATAGAATACACCATTTTTTGTATTACAACTAACGAATTGGTCGTTAAATATTAGATCAATGTTATTTAAACGTATATTAACACTGTTTTCCTTTAAAGATATTAAGTAAAAAATGCTTTAACTATCTATATCTTTATGTGTATAGTTACGCGGCCGCCATTGTAAAATATTGGTGAATTCACAGCGAGGTCTCCGGTGACAGTATGATGATCTGCAAGAATCACAGGTATGTTACACTTTCTCACTAAGTTGTATTTAAAAGCGCCTATGCTATTTTATGTTTTGTGCATATTTTTATCGCGAATTACTTAATTTTTTGACCGTATGAAGCATTTTAATTAAACGCACCTTGATTCCCTGTCACACGGTGCAAATGGCCGACCGCCACTATTTACAATACACTTCATTATTATTTATTAAGAAATCACTTAACTAATGACTTAAACCTAAGTTAATTATATGAAAATTAGTCATTTAATTTTTTCAGTCCCTTTTTGGTATTGTTGTTTTATTTTAAAGGCTAATAAAAATATGAGTATTTAGCTTGATACTGCTTTGTTGAATTGGCGCCAATTATTGAAAAACAATAGAGAATCTGTAATGCGTCATTAAACATTATAAGATTATTGCATACATAACTAATGGCTTCCATTTAGATATTTTTTTTTAATAATTAAAAAATTACTTGTCTATTCGTGTATTCGATTATTTTCCTGAAGTTTAATATTTTATTTATTTGTATATTTTGTTAAAACGCATTCTAATTAGTAAATAAAACTTAGCAAATAGACAATTGTATAAAAATATGATTTTAATTCAAATGCATAATAAAAATTTTCTAAAGAAATACAACATTCGAATTTCTGAATGTAAGGCTTATGTAAATTTTACAAAAGATTCTTGTTTGTTATTGTATTAATTTAATTGCAGTTGTAGCTGTACTTTTATTGATTTAAAACATAAGAAAATATTCTTAGTTTTACACAATGAAAACAAACAGTAAATATATTTTAAAGACTACTCCAGAGGGTTATTGTATCTCATTTTGTGCACTTCCAGTTAATCCTGCAGAAGTTATGTCCCAACCAAGAAAAGTTATACACCTACCCAAGGTCGGAATGCTCAACCGTGGAGGCAGATCTATCAAGATCACAAATGTCAAGTCCATTAAGCCTCCAGACCCAGAGCTAGTCAAGAAACAAGAGGAAGAGAAGCTAAGAGCTGAGGTAAAAATAATTTTAGACTTGAATTTCACATAGATGTCCATATATTATATGAGACCGCTAGAGACAGAGTAGCCTAACTGCAATTTAAAACTTAAGTTATTTATATTTCATAGACTAAAAATGTTAATCCACAAGAGAACAGTGAAATTGTAAACATAATTTTTACACAAATAATAGTACAAATTCAGTTTTGCCTAAGTTAATTGCACATTTTCCTCCTTATTGAATATCATGTTTTTTTACTAGGGCGCTTTGCCTTGAGCAGCCTTATATATCTATATTCCAATACGGATTACTATAATGCTGTTTAAATTCACTGATAGATGTTCATGTTAAGTGGCTAAAGCCAGATTTTCACCACAATGGACATTATAGTCTATTTTTTCAATTTCAGTTACAAAAGGAGATTGCTTCTCGATACCGGACATGCAGTTATCAAGGTTATGAATGCCAGCTACCAGTAGTATCTGGCCGAGCCTTCTGCGGGAGGCACATCTTGTCTGACACCACTGCACCATACAAGCAATGCGCCCAGGTCTCAGCTCAAGGCAAACGTTGCTCTATGCCATCACCAATAGACAAGGAGCAGAGGTTTGTTTCGATTTAGTCTATGACTTTTTTTATATAACACATGAGATTCCATTGGAATACAAGGATAAATATGTCTACTTAGATTTGAGTTGCATTGCAATGAATTAAATGATTCTATATTGTAGTTATTTATAAATTATTATGTTCCAGCCTATGTTTCGAGCATGCAAGGGCGAATCTACTAAATCGCCAGAGAAGTGCAGCGCCTCCGCCCCCCGTGACTACAACGGAGACACTTTTAAATCAATTACAACACTACATACGGTAAGTATCCACTGTCTACAGAGGGAAGGTTTTTGGATAGTTAAGTAAATGGTATAATACATGGTCATGGTACATAACAATGGTCTAGTGCCTTATTATGATTGCGGAGGAGAGATAAGCATGGGGCTCACTCGACGGTTAGTAAAATATCCCAACCATAAAATTTTTAAAAAATATGCGCTGTTGATCTGTCTTGGTTTGGATATTCGAAAATGACTGAAACTATTTCAGTTTTAGCTATTAAATTTCACGACTTCACCTGGGGATGGTGGTTCGTGACCTGGACGGAATTTTGATATTACTACCAGCCTATCACGTTTCAGAAAATTTATAGATTAATTAAAAAGATGTTAGACCTGTTAGGGATCAAAACCTTGATATCATTACACCATTAGAAGATAAGTAAACTCAACTAAGACCCGGGTTCAAACTCCTTGTTGTGCATTAATGTAGGTATTTGGAAGTTTTTTTTATTCCATAGTATTGTACTAAATATGTCATTTTAATTAATTAGTTATTAAATAATACTTCAGGCCAGAAAGAACTCGTACGACCTCGTGCGCTTCATCCGTCTCTGTAGTCAGTGATCCAGCTGATCACGAGGTCACTACGCATGCGGTCGATCCCTTTAGTAAGTACAAAGATATATGTCAGAGAAAAGTAATAGTGAGTAAATCTATTTAGTGTTTGAAGTTCGGGGTCCCCGTGTGGGGAATGCCTTGAAGACATTTTTGAGTTCGTTTCACTGATTAAATGTTATTTACAGACATTTTTAAGCAGGAGGGCAGGAAGTAAAATTGCTGTGCCCAAGCGAACATTTTATTATTTCTCCGAGTGTTAAACTCACAACCATTTGTGCCTAAATGCAAATCTAATAAAAACAATGTAGGTTATAATTGATGGCTTCTAGAGAAATCTTTTATTATAATCTATTTACTTTCATTACAGAGGAAATAGAAGCGACATCAGTAAACGCGACGGTGTCGTCGAATATAATGGAATGCGCAAGCGCAAGTGACAGTGACTGTGACAGTATTGAGCTTGAAACTGACATTACGGACGCGTTGTCTGACACCGAGGATGCGCCTTGCGAGAGCGAACCACTATGGTGAGTTTTATTATTAAACTGACCAGAAGACCCGTGAAGAACATCACTATTTTATCAAATACATAAATCTTTTAATCAACTGTTATACTCAGAATCTACTGGTTTGTATTGAAAGTTATTATTGTGTTGGTTAGAATATTTATCGAGATAGGCTTTAGGCTATAAAACATCAGGCATCAGCGAAGAAACCCCGAAAATCTGGAAAAAATGGGAAAAATCATTCATTTTTGTGGGTTTCAGATGCATACACTGCAAAACAGTTCAAGATACCCAAAAAATATTTATTCATATTGTTAAAGAAATGAAAAAAGCCAAAAAATTTAAGTGACTGTACGAAATATTGCAGTAATAAATTTTTCGGTATCTAAAGAGACATCAGCTTCGTAGTAGTGATCCTGCATTCGAATACCGGAGAAGCAATACATTGTTTCGGTCGGCTAGGCCACAGTACGAGAGATAACGTTGTGTCTATTGTCTTCCAGGCGAGCTGGTGTATTCACAGCAGAAGAAGCGGTCTCTGAAGCGAAAAATGTATTGAAGTTGCTCCAAAATGCTTATATCGGCCAAATGGGAAGGTTACGGATCTCTCTGCAAATAGCTAGACAACAATACCTCAAGAGTTTGAGATCAGAGAAAGAGTTATATTGTAAGTCTGTATGGTCAGCAAATAAAAATCTTTTTTATTGAGTATAGTAGCAAGTTAATTGAACCAATTTTAATGCTTTAAAGCACGAAATTTATTATTTAATAGATTTTTGGCTCCCCCGTGACCTCTATTGTTGAACGGCACACAAGGTTAAGTCTTAGAGTATTAAGTGACGACCTCAATCATGTAGTGGTTATTAAACTTGACTGCTGATCACAAGGCCCAGGGTTCGGTTTTTCGATATTTAGTTAGTTTTATCATCGAAATTCCGTCCGGGTCACGAACCACCGTCCACAGATGAAAGAGCCGTGAATCTCGTTTTGGTTTCAGTGCAATCAAAGTGAAAATAGGCCGACAGCATCTTGTGTAGATGTTATATGACTGGGATATTTCACCTCCCAACAAGTGATGCAATATCTACTTCTTCTTCATCTTGAAAAATGAGAAACATGATGGACCTGGTGGGGATCGAACCCGCGACTCATTGATCTTTAGTCACCTATTGCTAACATTAGACCAACGAGCCCATCAAAAATATTCAATTATAATTAATGATATTGATTTATATAATTTCCAGGCAGTATCAACACGCAGGCCAAAAGCGGTCCATTGACTGTTCGTGAACGAAGGCAACTTCGCAAGCTGAAGGCATACGCTGGGTATCACAGGCGACATGGCGTTGAGGCAGTATTGGCTAGGAAACTACAAAAGAAAAGGGCTAAGGTAATACAAATGAGCTAAAAAATATTGTACATTAGTGATTGAGTATGCAAACCAGAAACACTGGACCACATTAATGCCCCTGAGCCATACTTATTTATTAAAACAATTTCAACTCCTAAGATTAGCGCATTAAAACAAACTCTTCAGCTTTATAATATTAGTATAGATACATTTATTATTCCCAGGTGAACGAAATTCCGTCAAACCGCGGGAATCACATGCAAGGTCGCTGCACGTTCACGGAGGGCGGGGTCCGTTGCACGACGCATGCATTGCCCGCGTCCAAGCACTGTCTGAAGCATATCCTCCAGGATAGACAACAGGTACGTTCTTACAACGAAACCTACGACCCGTTGATAATTAGAGCTGCCATTACACCAACAAACTCGTCAAAAATGTATGATTGTTTATATACATGTCTTACAGGTGCTGTTTAGACAATGTGGAGATCCTCGTGGCGGCGTTCCTTGCAAGGAGCCAATACCGCGGCTACCTCTCGCTTCAAATCTCTGCAGATACCATACAGGCCCACCGATCTACACTTCCTTTACATTAAAGGTAAATTGTTTAACTATATGCCCACAGAATTTTACTAATTTAAAAAGAATATAGCTGGGAAAGGTCTGAGCATATTTGCAAAATTTCATTAGAATCTGCCTAGTAGTTTAGATGCAAACATTATTTTTAAAGTATCAAAAACATATCACTATAATCTGATTTTAAACATCGAAGGTATGGAATAATTAAATACGTTAATTAATTTTATCACGGTGTGTATGATGCAAAGTCAAAGTTATTTTGATAAACTTTTCCAGTTAAAAATGTAAATAACAATGAAGTTTAACTAGAAAAAAAATTATTATAATAACCCTATATATATGTGTGTGTGTGTGAATATGAAACCCTTTAAAACCACATGTGTTAATATACCCTTTTTCCTCCTTAGAAAGATGACTCGGGCAGCGATACAGAATCTCATTCATCACTAGAGAGTGATGCCGATGACATCCCATCACCCCGGAAAATCGAACCAGTGGTGGAGAGCAGTCTAACCGATGTCATGGCATATGAATGACATATGGACGATCCATATGACGTGTGGAATTGGTGATAGTGAAGTGATGTGGAATTGACACAAGTGAAATAACAGTGACACCAGTGATGAATTGATTTTAAAACCAGTGAGTGGTTTATGGACTTTATAAAAACTATACTAGCAAATTTTTGTGAACCACTTTCCTTCAGAAGTAAAACGTTTGTTAAAGTTTCAATTGCTAAGTATTCTAGTTACCTTATTGACGTTGATCAGAAGTTTTTGAATTTCTTATGGTTCACAGTGTATTATTTCAATAGATTACTGAAACTAAATTTAGGCTTAGTCTTAATTATTAAAAATAACTTTTTCCAACTTCAGTCTTTTTGAAAGGCCGAAGTTCTAATGGGAAGGAGAAGATAGCTTTAATATGCATTTACAAAGGACATAAAAAATTAATATTATAGTATTATTGTTTTTGCTTAGTCTATTAATAATATTAAATTATTTTTGGGATTTTAATCAAGTTAATTATAACACAATATCAAAATAAAACAAATCTCAAAAGAAACATATTTTTTTATTACAATATAACACATCTTTGTAATACCTACTTAGTAAATTCACAAAAATAATTACTTTAACTTCATGATACAAATGTTAGGGAGGTATAAGATTTGGCAAGGAAAGTATATAAAAGAAGTTAATTAACACAAATATTTACACTGCTCGTACCTTAACTACCGTTTAATGCGTACATAAAAGAGTTTATATAGAATAAAACACTGAGGTTAACCAACCATTACGTCGGGTCTTAGTAATATATAATATAACCAATATATTTCACGTTCTAAACTGTTTTATTCAAATTGTGCTACTCGCGTAAACTACATAAATATGCTCCTGTTGAACTAATGTTATCAGATTTTTTTTTTTTATAAAGTATTTAAATATGATATAAGTATTTATGTCATGGAGGCATAAAAATAAATATTTATTTTTTATCTCAGTACTATATCTTGAAAGGAACTGACAAAAGTATTATTTTAGTAGTGCTTAGTAGTAAATATTATCTACTGTGATAAAAGTAATTTTATTAGAATGTTAAAGTGGTAAATATTAACATAACTATGTAGTACAGTATAAATGCATTTAAGAAAAAGTATAAAAAAATATATAACACAGTTGTTAGGATACATTTTGATATCTAGGTAGAAATTTTACCTCTAGAATAGTAAAATTAAAGAAAAATAGGGGATTGGGGGTATAGAGATATCATTACATTTGAGCAGCATGTATTATTAAATGGAGAATGGAAGGTTGGAACGATTAGGAATCGTTTTATAGCTGGAGATCAAATAAAATAAATTATTAATAAATAAAATATATTTAACTTATTCAACATGTGTGCTTCAGTCATTTTCGTTGTAATGTTTGAGATACAACAGTAAAATATGGAAAAAAAAATGTATATAATAGTAGAATTCACTCAAAACGAAAGATAAAAAATTTCATAAACTAACACAAGTAAAAAATAAAACTATTTTTATCTGCACCGCGGTCTCAAACAATACATCTTGAAAAAAAAAACTATAAATTAATTTACTTCTTCTTCTTGGATTGTTTCTGTTTCTTCTTCTCTTCTCGTTTTATCTCCTTTTCCTTTATCGATTTGTACAGCTTGTAGCCAAAGAATACTGTAAAGAAAAATAATTGTGATCAGATTTAGTGGGATTTGGGAACTGTGTACTTTTTACTCAGTTGAGGGGGTAAAGGGGAGCGGGTTATTGTATACCCAATGAATGAATATTTTTTTTTAATATTCTATTAAACATAAAAGTCGCTTCAAATACTCTATTCTACCAATATTAACGGCTAAAAACCATAATATAAAATATATTTTTGAGGTTTTTAAATTCGTGTTGATTAAATACTGTAAAAATAAAATATTTTAACGATTATTGAAATAATATTAGTAATTATCAAAACTGAAACAAAGAAATGCGTAAACACTGTTTTAATTATTTTTTTTATTCTTTATGCCATACCGAGTATAAAAACAACAACAAACGCGGCAATCCAAAGAGGTAGATACGATGCGTCCTCGGCGAAATTCTCTTGCATCTTCATAGATAACTTCATTGCGAGAGCTTCCTTCAGCTGTTCCACGAAGACCCCCTTCTCCCCTTCGCTCATATCGTTGTATCTATCTAGAACATTCTGTATTTTCTCTCTGATTTCTTCCGCCTCTTCGTCTTGGGTCGATGTGGCGACGATTTTTTGTAACATTGACACGACGTCCGCGTTTTTGACCGCTTCTGTCACAGCAGCGAATGTGTCCGTGTCTTCCATTTTCTTGGACAATGTTTAAGGTTAAATACATATATTTGGTACATGTCACATTGTCCTCAATCAGTCTATTATAGAATACAAAACCTAATTTTTTTTTTATTAAAAAATAAAAAAGCATCGTCGGGTGGCAACACTAGACAACTATTTTAATGAAAACAATGTTTCTCATTACATTGATGCATTTTTGGATATAAGCCAGATTCTATTAATAGCTTTAAAGAAAATGCAGTACACCTTTAGAAGAAAAGTTATCACGTTCCAAAAATCGTTAATCAGCCTACCCGACGAAGACAATATTTGGGTTTATAAAACCGAAATTTCGTTAACCCTTTGGGGGGCATGGGACAGACATATCTGTATCTGTTTCACTCGCCGAATCATACTTCTGTGCTCTACCCGACCGAAACTATTTAACTTGTATTTAGTTATCCTAAAATGTTAGAGATTAAATTGAATTGGACGTTCTGCCAAAGTTATATAAAACCATTGATATAAACTTGCTGTAAATAAAGCATTATCTTTATCCACCTCGAAATTATCAATAAAATACCGACACTCACCAACCGCTGGCAACACCTTTAGATTACTGAATGCACGCTACATCTCTACGATTACGCGTTATAAGTACTATCTACAAGATAAACTCTTGACCCATTAGCGAGGTATGTTTCGAAGTTTTTGTATCAAAATAACCACAAGTGTTACTTTGTATTCTATTAACAAATAGTGGTATTGGGTCGAGTTCGCCCGTCGTAATTGAGAAAAGGCTCTCGACGTTTAGATGCCACGAGTGAGTTTAGAGGCAACAGATGTTGAGCGTTACTTGAAAAAGCAGACGGAATACCCTAAGCCAAAAGAAGGCCGACAGCGCTTCTCGATATTATTATATATTGTCTCCTCTGTTCAGAAACAATAGCACATTATTATTTTCGTTACATATATATATTATTTACACTTATATACCCTCCTATATAGGAACAAGGAAAGAAATCGTTTGATTTATAACTATCAATAGGACACACAGAGCCAGTTGGAAGAAACGCGACTAAATATTTAAAAATACAGAATCTATTTTTAATATAACCGGTTCGTAGCTTGCTTAAAAATTTAACTAGAACTCTGGCGGCTACTTAATTTAAGACTCTATGAATAAATTGTAAGTGAACATACCGTATAATAGAATACATTTTTGAGAAGTTTAAAATTGGTTTTAGTGTATCACCGCCTCCTTCAATGATTAGACGCGTTAAGCTTGAAAGGGCTTTCGTTAACGCCCCGAAAACAATAGTAACGGACTGGGCACAAAAGTATAACTAATCTATAGGTACTAATATAAGCTGAAGAGTTTGCTTGTTTGTTTGAACGCGCTAATCTCAGGAACTACGGGTTCGACTTTAGTTTCTTTTTTTTGGTTAGAGCATTTATCAAGGAAGGCTATAAAACATCGCCCCGTGACTAATACAAGCAAAGATACAGCGAGATAAGTGAAAAAAATTGGAAAAATTATTCATCATTATTGGTTACCGAAGCGCACGCTGCAAACACGATTCGAATATGTACGACAGAATGATTCCTCTTTAAATGATCTAAAAAAAGCTCCGCGACGCTATATGCTATCTTATAAAGATTAACTTGCAAGAACGACAGGAAGAGACACGACCGACGTAGTGGGTAACAGCTTAAGTTCGTAAAGATGAAGAGCTTTGCAAATACGAATTTGGATGCCCAAAATAACGCATATCGCGGACGAAGTCGCTGACACAGCTAGTTTATTGTAAGCTCGTAAAAAAAGGAATCGTAAATAAGAATAGGCTGAAAAATTCCTGAAAGTGGCTTTTTAGGGTGAAAATCTAAATTATTCAATTAATTGTAGAAGTCTTGTTTGTATAAATTTTATGGAGCAAAGTGCTTACATGTATAAAAATAATAAGCAGTACTCACAGTCATAAATTTGTATATACAATAATCATATAATATGTTCGAATAGTTTATAACATTTATCTTTAATTCAACCGGTGGATAGCGATAAACCGTTCACTGATATGGAAATTAAATCCAGATTAATATTGATAATTTTAAGAATAAAGTACATATTTATCTATTTATATAACATAAAGACAATTTAAACTTAAGCTCTAAAAACTGTAATATGTTTGGAAAATTATTCGGCAAAATCGATCTTTGTTTTAAGGTAATTTCATGAACTGTATCTTAGTTAATGAAATTACAGTTTAAATTATAGATTATTAAATTAAAATTACCTTCATATAAGGACATATTTACATATCATTTATATTTTACAATCAACAAACATATAACGATATAAAAAAATATATAGCTTAGCAGATATCAGTGGCTTTAGCCCGGGCGCTAAGACACCCCCCGGTACACTGTGAAAAACGGTACTAAGTTCTGAACATACTGTCTATGACAAGGCGCGATCTGTGGATCGTGGTTCGCGACCCGGCAGTAATTTAGCACCATCTATATTATCCATGTTTTACAGATGATCCAAAATTTTGATTTTAAGAATGATTCTTAACATCATCATGTCGAAACCCGTGCAAATCGAACCCCCACCGTCAGACCATCTATTGACCGTGCCATACGTTTCTAGCATAAAACAACGAGCCCAACATAAAGCAATACCCAAACTTTCACGTACCAACAACGATGAGCACAACGACCGCTACCGCAGCCATCATAATCATCTGATCCCTGACAGCCGTCGCCATCACGTCCTCAAATTGCGACAGATCTGGCGGATTATTCTGAAAGTGCGTGGCCAATTTTCGCGCCAGCAACTCCTTGATGTATGTGAGGAACATCTCCTTCTCCTGGTCAGACATTTCGTTGTATTGGTTCACTATGTCCCCTAGCTGGCCTTTTAGGGCTTCTGATTCTTCACCTTCCGCTGACTCGAGCAGTTTTTGCAGCATCGCCATGATGTCAACATTGTGGATGGTTTCATGCAACTTTTCAGATATGAACTTTTGAAGATCCATTTTTCTAGAGGAAACGCGCTATTAAAAATTGACGTCTAGTAAAATTACCATTTCTTCTTTATTTTATTATTGTGCGTTTAATTTAAGAATAAAAATAGCGACACTTACCACACGTTACAAACGCAACGCAAACGAAAAACCACTAATGAAATAATCGAAGATTATTCACCTGATAATAATGATAAATAGATATTATTATACTATCGTTTCAATCTTGACTTACAGTTTTGTGTTTCTAAAACCTTTAATTTGGGTTAATATATTCTAAATAAATTCTAAAAGACCTCATTTGGCTTTCGATAATGGTAAAAAAAAAATCCACAGACTCTACTTGACGGTTCTTACATCTGTGGACGGTGATCCGTGAACCTGGCGGAATTTAAACATTTCTACCACCAATTTAATATCCAGATTCCCATAGGTTTAACATGTTTCACAAAAAATATAAATTGATTAGAAAAATGTCGGACCCGGTGGTCGAACCCACGATCCGTTGGTCATAAGTCATACAGTGCTACCATTACACCAACGAGCCCGTCAAGATCGGAACTTATGATAGTATAGAACTTTAAAAACAATGACGCGAGCAGGATTCGATCACCGTATCGAAAGTCTACTAGATTACCGTAATATATTTTTTAATGTATTTTTATGGAAATAAAAAAATACCGACCAATGGTTATATCGACACGTGGAGCTGATTCTTATTATCAGCCGAACACGGTGGCTTTAAAATTATCTCACTTACATAAGAAATTACTGATAACAGTGTGACCTGGTTAGTAAATAAAACAATATTTTTATACATTGGTTTAACTGATAGTCGCATGCGCAAATTAATGGAGAAAGTTTAATAGGGAACACTTAAAACTTTATGCATCATAAACTTGCATAAGCTTTTTTTCGATCTCGTTAACTATTTATGGTAAAATTTACTACTAACGTAACAACTTCTGTTACTACTAGTAACGGACTACTAGGGCTACTTTGCTTTCGAGCTTCACGGCCGTCGTTAATAATTATTCCAAAAATGGTTTTCGATATTTTCAAAATCCTAGTCTCAGTCAGCTTTGTAAAATGGCCGCGAAATCTTATATTTTTTAAATTAATAGACCTATGTATTTTAATCATTTTTTTATGCTTGTATAACTTTTTAAAAGGGCGTTGGATAATTTAAAAATAAAACTAAGTGTTTATTAATGTTTGCGCAGGATCGAACCAAGGTTTCCAGTGATTAACGCAATACTAAGCAACACTTTATCCATCTTTCTGAGTCACTGAGAGGAAATCTGATAAGGATCTTAAAAGTTAAAACTTTAAAAGATCAGACATATGTTTAAGAAAAAACTCCACGTGGAGACGGGGTGCAAGTGCTCGTGACGTAAATGCGGGTAGATTTTAAATATGATTAAATCATATTTGAAAATAACCTTTTATTCAATAAATACTAGTAAATAGGTATAACCGGTTTATATATAAGATACTATAAAATGCTTAGGCTATAGATACGCGCATGCTTTGTTTTTAATATGAACACGATTTGAATGTGGGTTACCTTGTGTTGTTTTTTTACGTTGGCTATTATAAATAAAAACCGTCTATTATATTTTGTTGGCCTTAAATGTTCACCAATAAACATTTTTTTGTTTCTCTCTTGCCATGTTGAATAACTTCTGTAAAAAATCGTCAAAACTTACATATAATCGAGAAGATGAGAATCACGAAAAACACCGCTAACAAAGTGCCGTAGGAGCCAAAAACTTGTGGCACGTCTCCAGTCAGCATGCTTCTAAGGCTTTCCTTCATATCCTCGCTTATATCAGCGCCTTCTAGCATATCCAGTAATTCCTTCTTCGACGGCGGATTATCGGAATCCAGAAGTTCGCTGATTTTCTGCAGATCCTCAGTGCCTTTTTCCTCCATTTTAATCAATATGCGTTTGACTTATCTTGCAGTTGATATACAACTGGCCACGTTGGCGTATATTTGACTTAAGAAACAGACTTCAGCGATTGGAGATATGTTTACAGTTTACGAGATAACCGCGTTTATATTATTTACGGCTTGAGCCACAAAAAACATACATATATAGACTGTTTTTTTTATCTTTCTTGCTACTAGTACCACACGAAGACGCTAACATATGTATCAGCTACGAGTCATAAAGCCTTTGTGATTGTGGCCCTTTAATTCTTATCATAAAGTAATTAAGTTATAATACTATGTTTTGCCAATGAAAAAATACATGCACAGTAATTTATACCTTGTAGCTTAAAATACAGACATAGCTCAATGTGCTTTGAAAAAACGCCATCTCTTATGAATTGGGTTGTCTTTTTTGTGAAGATATATTATCTAGTTGGAAACAACTGTTCAATTAAACATATTTTAAAGTATAACATTTAAGCACTTTGTATTTAAAAAACTGGATATATATATAATGTTTGCTTATCTGTTTTATGTATTCCATTTATTAAAATTGATCACAATAATTTTAGGTTTACATTCAAGGAAACTTTTTGGATTCAAACAGTTTTAACACAACAAAAGAAATGGTAATTAATTGTGTTGGAAACTAATCACATACAATACTATATGCGTGTGTGAACTGTGATATATAGATTACTTGGGGATATTTTAATATCCTTAATGTTTTAAAAATTTCATGCTACCAATTACACGGGTAAGAGCAGCGTGATGGGTCCAGCTGTGCCGACAGCTTGCTTCGACCCCCCTTAAGCTGGATCAACTGACAAAACATCATGTATATGCATTATTTTAAACATAGCTTATTTAAGATACTTGGGTAGCATATTAGACTTTCATTATAAATTCAGAAAACTTTACACTACTTCATACTACTATTAAAACTGTACAGAGTTACACGACACTATACCGCATAAAAATAGTGATTGATCTTTAAAATAATAATAAGTGTGAAAATATTTGCAACGAGCGTTAAAGTACGTGTCGTTAAAGTAACATACATTTGGTGGTAGAGATTTTTTATAGTTGTGAGAATACAAAGATTATTTTCATTTTATATTTACCTGATAGACTGACGACAACTATTCCAGGAATGATAAAAACTGTGTTGGAAAATGCATGTTCCAGAGGGCCGTCCTGTCCACCACTTAAGTCTACCATATTGTTATAATACTGCAGTTACACTAAATACTGATATAATACGATAAAATAACACACTCAGAACATTTCACAGATCATTCGTTTCATATTAAGAGATTTCCGGAGAAAATACTGAGGAAAATCTGTTGCATAGTTTTCATCAGCTTGACGTTTCAGGAAAACATCCACGGTTACAGATTATATATTTGATACGATTATTTAGGTATAGATTAGTAACGAATAAATGGGAAACAAGCTAAAAATGTTCAATATTGCATATTTATATTATATCTGTATGATTAGATAGCGTTGCTGTTTTTTTCTAAAATTTTCAAACCGACGTCTATACACAACATTATCCTTGATATAAGAACTGACTTTGATATTTGACAACTCACACAACCTTCTACAGTCTGTATTCTTAATTATTATTTTGTCTTCTACCGGGGTCGCAGTGTTTACTTTGATATTTTAAATATTAATACGGTTTAAATTTGTAAAATGGCTCGCAGTATAATCAAATTGGGCGCTCTAGAGGCTCAGAAGACAGCCTTCCTTTTATGCGACGTCCAAGAAAAATTCCGACCGCACATAAAGCACTTTGACGAAGTTGTTAAAGTTGCGAATAAAATGGTTTGTATTTGACTTATCTATTCAATGTTACGTAATTATAAAACTTAGTAAAGCATACATTAAGCATGTGATATAATTAAATTTATAAATAATAATTTTATGTCAATCACAGGTGGAAGCAGCAAAACATTTCAAAATACCGGTTTACGTATCTGAACAATACCCTCAAGGTCTTGGGCATACAACTAAGGACATAAATGTTGACGACGCCGCACTAGTCTATGAGAAAACCAAATTCTCAATGTTTACACCAGAACTGGAGGAACGCTTGAAGAAAGATGTCCCTGGGTTGAATTCAATAGTTTTGTTTGGTATTGAGGTATTCAAGACTTTACGGATATACATTTGTGATAATGTTATTTAACCTAAGAATGATTAAGAGGTTGGCTAGAGCCAGTCTAGGTTTTAGATTTATATGTTTTTATCTAATTGGTCAATTATTATTTACATAACTATCAAAAGACATTAATCATTAAACATTAGGAAATATAAAGTATGTTGTTAATATCAGTAGATAAAACAAAGGCAACATTATCAGTTCTATAGATGCACTAATATAAGTTTCCATTTAAGGTACTAGGAACTATAATCAGGATCAATAGGAGCTTTAATAATTGTGTTTATTCAAATCTTTCTTTTTGCAGGCTCATGTTTGTATTGAACAGACAGTCATAGACCTACTTAGTCAAGACTTAACAGTCCATATCCTCGCAGATGGAGTATCATCTAGGTCTTTAATGGACAGAAACCTAGCACTACAGGTAAATTATAGTCACTAAAAAGTTCACAATCTGCAAAGGGAAAAACCATACATTTCTCACTAATATATAAAGCTGAAGAGTTTGTTTGTTTGTTTGAACACACTAATCTCAGGAAGTATGGGTTCGAATTGAAAAAAAAAAATTGTATTGGTTAGAGCATTTATCGAGGAAGGTATAACACATTGCGATGCGACTAATAGGAGCGAAGGCACAGCAAGAAATGCGGACAAAGGAAATTTTTCATCTCTGTATTAGTCATTATTATTAGTAGTGTAGATCAAGATACCTAAGAATTGAATATAGGAGAATGATTTCTGTTTAAATGATCTAAATCTATCTAGTCTATCTATTAAGATTAGCTTGCAAGAACGACGGGAAGGGACGCGACCGACATGGTGGCTAACAGCTTAAGTTTATAAAGATGACGGGGTTTGCAAAACATAATTTGGATGCCCAAGATAACGATTCACGCGGACGAAGTCGCTGGCACAGCTGATCTTTAATAGAGGTCTACAAAGATCAATATATTAAGTGAACATTCCTGCTGGATTTTATAATAACTTTTTTCTTACAGCGCCTTCAATCCATTGGTTGCTTCGTTGGTACATCAGAGAATGTCCTCTTTAAGTTAATGCGAGACAAGAACCACCCAGCCTTTAAAGCTATTTCCAAACTAAACACTACACCAACATCTGACGAATTTGGTGTTAAGCCTATCAAGTCGGTATTGTAGAATATCATAAATAAAAATTGTCTGGTGGCATCACAATATTTTTAACCACACAAGTAAATTATTGTTTATGGTATCAATGATTATATGAGTTAATTTGTTGAAATATACATATAAACAATTAGTTTTAACTAAAAATATATACTTGAAACTTGTAAAGTGGAAGAGATGATACAAAATTGTACAAGTTTTTGTGATGTACACAATTCATAGTTTATTTTATTCATGAAATAGTTAACTTAGTATAAGGGATAACCCAATGTTCTACCAAGACCGGAAGTTGGGAAATTGGAGAAATGGGACATGTAGACCGATTGCCTGACATTTTGTCGGTATATTCAAGAGAAAAAAAGAAATTTGTGATAAATTATAAAAGGTTTACATGACCATTTCATGAGATACATATTAAAATGCAAACAGCTGGAAAACACAAGTTGCTTGGTGTAAGGGATTTCTTAATTTTTTATATTCACTTAGATAGTATGAGTAAAGGCTGTTGATGTAATCAAGAATTTATTTGTTTTATTTGTATAGGTATTATAATTATAGTTTATATATTGTTATTAAATAATATAGAATATGAAATTTTGTTTTATTTTAACAATGACCATTTCAACTGCTCCTTGGCTGACTGAAGAACCTGAAATATACATAAAACTGTGATTATAAGGTAAAACATACAAATACATGTATAAATTTATTCAACTTTACATACCTTGATAAAAACCTTATAAGCAATATATTGCTTATTCTATAATAAAAATTTGGACTGAGATAACCGCAACATACTTTAATTGTTGCATTGAACATGCTTATAAAATATTATGAAGACTCCTTCTTGTCTCAGTTATCATAGTCCTAATTTAAACTGTATAGCCACATAAATTTTACAAAACCTAATGTTAAACAAGCATAATATAAAAATGTATGAATGGAGGTGGCTTTGCATTAAAATATAGATAAAAAATCCTTTAGGTTATGTAAAAAGCCATGTTAATTTATAAAACCAATAAGCTTTATATAGCAGTAATAAAAAAAGATATAAAACATATAAAGGAATAGCGAAAAATAAAAAATGTAATAATAAAATAATTTTTAATCAGAACAGAATTATTGGAATAAGGTAACTTGGACTACATTAATATAAGTGTGTTGCCATTTTCTTGATGCTAATAATTGTTATTCATTAAATTGATGAGAACCTGAAATAATTAATTTTGATTTCAACATTATATAATTTTTGTTAATAGTTGACAGGAATAACAAGTATTAGACCAAAGCCACAATTAGATGTAAAGAGGAAAAATAATGAAAACTTCAGTGCAATATCGCATTATGATAATGAAATAATACTGCACAAAAACTAGCCCATAGATAATAGGCATATGATAGATTGCTAAAATATGTACAACATTGCCTATTATCTAGTGTATTTTGAAAAGGATACTGTAATAAGTAAAATTTATATGTTCCAACTACCTTTATAAAATAACACAAATTATCAAACGCTGTCAATCTTGTCGTTGTTACAGAAAACATTTCAACATATTAGTATTCTATAGCACTCTTTATATTTAATGAAATTAGTAGTCTGTCACTTTTGTGCATGAAACCATGTGTGGGTAGTTTTAAAGGAAGTGGTAAAAATTACTATACAAATTAAAAATATCCTCTACAATTACCCTCTACCAAAATATTTTGTTTATGTGATCCATTACCTGTGCAACTGTTTGTTCACCAAGTGGAACGTCTTCAGTGCGAAGTGCTGTCCGTGACACAATTGAAGTAGGATCTGAGTCTAGAATTACTCTGTAGAAAGAATAGTGTTTTAATAGGTGTCAATCGATCCAGAATAAAAAAAAACTTTAAAATATTATACATTTGAAATACTCATAGAATTACCCGTTTTCTATTTTATATTTTTGTCTATAATAAGGAATAACGTATCAAATTTTCTAATATAAAATAAAAAGAAACACTTCCCTATCAACTATATACGGGATAGTACAGTCACAAATGAATACCTACCCTCCATCACATATTTCATCAAATGCTAACATAACTGCATCCAAATTGTCCAAAATTATTCTCTTCTCAACATTTCTCCTAAGTAAAATGCTGACAGATTCATACAGCGCATTCAGTACAGATTGCAGGATCAACTGTAAACAAGGACAACTGACAATCTTTTATATTTTTCTATTTTAAAATGCTTTTAAAGACTTAGGTACCTAAGTAAGAGGCATAAAGGAAGTTGTGGGACATAAATACATGAACACAAACATGACAAATGAATGTTCTAATCCTGCCTGTATCACATATTTTTTTGCAGTTATTAATGATTTATATACTTTTGTTTTTTAAAGTGCTTTTAGAGACCAAGAATATCATTATATATTAGCCTTACCTCATTCTCATGAGAACTACCCATAACATAGAAGTAGAGATCTACATTATTTTTGTAGACACACGTGAAACCATCCAGCATAATTATCTCAGCATTTGCTCTGTAAAAGTAAAATAAGTTACAATGTTAAAAATATAAATGATTGCTTATCATGTGCAAAGTTTAAGACCCCCTTGAGCATTGTAAGAAGTTTAAGAAGTCTATATGACTTTACTATAGTACTTCTATGTTTAAATAACCCTTACCGATGAGTCTTGTTGAAAAGATTCTTCTCAAATGCCTTCTGTTCCTTAGCGGTAGTTAAGGTGTTAGGATCATAATATTTAGCTAGGATTCTGTTTCCATCATTGTCCAATATACACATTCCCTTCACTATGTATAGAGTCGGCTCCTAAAAAGGTTTTCTCTAGTAGCAAAATACTTATGTATAAAGTTAACGATACTCCTAGTTCAATAATATACATACGAATAGGGAGCCCTCCATTGCGATTTTTTTGTGAACCATGATGCTGATGTACGAAAGATTTTATAGATATTCAAGAAAACAATATCTAACACACGATTACTACTAGGCATTCATTCAAATTTGGATTTTTGAAAACAATGACGTGTCAGTGTCATATGTAAAACTTTGACATTGTCATGTCAATGTCAGTTTGATATACATATACATATTTCATCGAATACGTAAACGTGGATATTATCTGCATTCACCAAATTATATTTTACATTATTAAATATTGTCTGTTATTTGCCTAAAGATTACTATTAAGTAAAAGAAGAATAAGAAACCACGTATAGTTTAGTTCGCTTAGCAACTGAATAGTTTCAAACCAATTTTATATATTTTACGGTAAACTTATTCTTATGTTGTTACTATCATAACATGAATTATAGTGTAAACTATCAAAGATATAAATATTTAAATCTATACTAAAATCATAAAGCCGAAGAGTTTGTTTGAACACTGCAAATGGGAAATGTGGAAAAAATGAAAAAAATATTCATCGTTGAGTTTTTCTAGTGCGTGTGCTGTGCGGTATAAGTAACGAAAGAATATGTGTGAAAGAATGTTTAATCTTGTGAAATGGTTTGAAAAAATGTCCATACTCCATGACAGTTTATGTTTTACTTGTAAGAACGACAGGACGCGGGCATAGTTATATATTTACAATAATGAAAATTCCTGCGTCTGACTTGACCTGACGGGCACTTCTAACACTAAAAAGTGTCTTAATTCGCGAATATTACAAGGGTCATAAAACATAAACTTCAATGTGATAAATGGTGAATGATTTAAATTTTAATCGACAGACCTACATCATCTCGGATTGAACTTATCATGACTGAATCACACGCAAACGAAGTACAGTCGTATAGAAAGTTTTATTTATTCTTGAACTAATCTTACGTATATATATATTTTAATAATGGATTTTGCCAGTTGCCTATAACTAATAGTTATAATTACTGGTATAAAATGTAACATTCCTTTGGGGTTCCTTATAATTTTATTGTAAGTAAAAAAACTTATTTAATTACCCTGCGCGAGAGAATCTAAAACTTTCTTTAATTTTTATACAGAAAGACGAAACACAGAGCAATTATTTAACAGAGAATTCACTTCTCTCGCCACCTGTACTCCCAATCAAGCTCATGCTTAACGTAATCTAAACTAAGCATAACTGTACAACTATTAACCCGCGCCAGGTAACAATTAACAAGTGCTTGTGACGTAATCGATTTGTGACGCCGAGCGCGCCATTACACCGTGGGGGTCCGTGGGTGGGAATTTTACTATAGGACCTAGTAATATGAAGAAGTACGATGTAATATGTTGTTAAAACATACAATAGTAAAAATGGTAAAGTTTTTTATTCTACTCTCGTACCTACTATCTTTGAATAAAGGAAGACCCATTTCTGTGATGTCATTTGGCATTGATAGTTTCCGCCGTTGGGATCTGGGCTTCGATGTCTGGCGTAAATGTATGAGTAATATAATATACTACTGTGTCACTGTACTGTGTCAGAGACTTCGAAAATTCGTTTTTGCAAACCCCTTCATGTTTATAAAATTAATCTGTTTCCCACCACGTCGATCGCCTCCCTACCCGTCGTTCTTGCAAGTTAAACTTAGAAAAAACATAAAGCGTCGCGGACTTTTTTTAGATCATTTAAAGAGGAATCATTCTTTCATACATATTTTTTTGATATCTTGAACCGTTTTTGCAGCGTACGCCTCGGAAACCCATAATGATGAATAATTTCTCCATTTTTTTTCACATTTAGCTTGCATTAGTCACAGGGCGATTTTTATAGCCTATAGCCATCCTCGATTAGCGCGTTCAAACAAACAAACAAACTCTTCAGCTTTATATATTAGTAAAGATGGAAAAATAGATACTTGTTTCGATGCACAACCAAAGATCTAGTTTAGTTGTTAGTTTCTACTTCTCGCGTAGAATCAAGATGGCGGTTTTAAAACAGCTCTACGAACGGAAAGACAGCCATAAATTATACAGGCTAGTTGTATTACTTTACGAATATTTGAGCGGTAGACTACAAAGCGAGAACTAATGAAGCGAAACGGATGCTCTTAAGCGTGGAAAATACAAAGAATTTGTTAACACAATGATATAATTGAAGATCGTTTAGGCGATTCGCGAAGCGACCGGTTTGCTGGATTTGGTATTAACGGTGTTGTAATAATCCTATTTTTATTATCGCCATAATTTAATTACTTTGCGTATATAGTTATTATTTACTTCTACATAATTTAACTCAAAAGTGATATTCACGAACTAAAGACAGAAAAGATAATATGGTTCTGTTGACGAACGGTAAGTAAACGTTGACTAACCTAACATCCTCCATAAAAGGGGGATTGTGATATTGAGCAAAATAGTCGGCTGATAGTAAATGTAAATTTAGACTCTTCTGTTTGTAATGGACTTTTGTTTTGTTATAGACATCTACATTAATAATTATTATTTGTCACTTTAATTATGTGGAGAGAACGTCCGGCTGTTAGTGTAGACGTAAAACGAAATTACAACAGTCTACAGTATCGAGGATAGAGAAACAAATGGTGGCATTCGTGAAACTAAAAGGGGTTAAAAAAATTACGTGAATTATTTTTATTGTGCTCAATAATATAAACAAGATTTTTTGTGTGTTTTTATTAATAAATACTGTATATCAATAACGGGGCATCGGTCGGTGGGTACAGACTGAAAAATAGCTGAAAAAAAAGAAAAGAAACAGACTAAAAATACTGAGTGAATTTTATTCTTGCAGTATTTAGGTGAATCTGAATAAGATGAAGTTCTTAATTAGATAAGAATTAATTTTAACAGATAATGTTGATAATTTTTTGGCATTAAAAAAGCGTTTCTCTTTCTACCTTACGAATAAGTTTATTATTTGACTACTATTTATTTAATGTAACGTTCTTTTAGGGAACAAATATCCCAAAATAGGATAATCTATATATTTTTTTATTATGTGGTTTAAAGTGGAGCAACATTCGTCAAGCAGCCAGTAATATATAATTGGTAATATAATAATATTTGTTGAATGAAGTATTTAGATTAAAGGTATTTCTGTATTAGATCTGTTTATGTCATGACTCCGGCGGTTAAGCGCGTGATATCTGTCATTTTGTGGTTTAGGCGCCAACTTGACAACTTGGTAACCTACAGGTGCCTTTATACTATACGATTCCGAAATTTACATATTTATTGCTTCAAATATCTATTATCACGAAATTAAACAAAAGTTTTTTATAACTTATCATTGCTTAATATATTACGGGTCAAATTAAAAAGCGATTTCCAAATGACGACGTTCTGTGCTCTAACTCGTTAAAAAATGTTTTATGTAATGTGTGTTACACAGATGCATAGTTGCTTTAACTACACTCATATTTGTTAGAGTTAACAACTTATCTATTAAAATAACTTATGTATTTATTTATTTAATTCTTCATTGCAACAAATACAAAGTATATATACATGATTCCTTAAAAATATTCTTAATAATACAATTTTTAAGATACATTATTCTCACCAGTTATACATATAGTGCAATGGGCGGCCTTATCGTTATGGAGCGATCTCTTCCAGGCAACCCTTATGTAATGTGAAGTTTCAAAGTTGTGGGTAATTAAAAAAGTCGTCACAGTTACGTCTCGTTTGAATGCGATTAAAATCATTTCGAGGTTGCTTTTGGCGTTAAAATGATTTAAATGAAGGGAGACTATTGAAATTTATGAATGTTCCCACCAAAAATAACCGCCTGCGTAACAAGACCCTCGCCTGCTTATATTTTGATGGTATATGGAGGTCTTTATAAATAGCCAACGTTATAGATTGTCTTTTTTGAGTATTATCGTTTGAACGACTCTATTTTCGTTGATGCCGGTGTATTTAAAGCGGTTCGTTGGTAATTAAAGAGTGTAATGTTATACTGCATTTGAGTTAAGCTATTGGTAACAGATTTATTCTTTAAAAAATGGGGTTAGCGCTATTATTTTTAGGATTCGCTTGTTACCCATACATTTTCAAAAATGCTTAATTAGTCCTGCGTTTTTTGCGCGACAAAAGATTTGATTGACTCCGTGAAAATTGTATGTGTTATTGTTTTTATGTGCAGTTGTAAGGTCATTGAACTCAAAACTCGGCATAGACAATTAATTAATTTTATCCGTCTAGAGCGGAGGAACTTTTGTAATTTGATTCGCTTACATCAAAAGGACTCCCTTCTATGATGTTGTCTATTCCCGTATGCCAACCCCAGCCTCTGTCAGATTGTGCCGCGGATTTCTTTTTGTACCTTACATCGCGTATGGTTACATAAGCAAGAACTACAGTACTTAATGTAACTACATTTATCTTAATATTATTTGAGCTAAAGAGTTTATTGTTTGTTTGAAGGCGCTAATCACAAAAAAAACTACACGGCTAATTTCTAAAGATTAAATATGTACCTGTTTCTTCACATCTTTCCACACGATACAAACTGGTTTATGGCCTCTCTAAATTATACAGATAACAATATTTTCTGATTTAGAGCGAATATTGGAGCGTTATCAACACAATGCATTCTGATTGATAACATCGTTTCGTGAGAAATTAAGGGTCAAAGAGCGAGCGATGTTTTTAAGGCTGTTTATTCATCCATAGTCTATACTAATGTTATAAAGTTGAAGTTTGTTTGTTTGAAGGCACTTATCTAAGGAACTAATGGTTCGAATTGAAAATTTTGTTTGGATCCCTACCAAGTCCGCATGTTTCTTAATACTATATGATTTTTTCGGAACCATGATAAACTTCGTCTGGAAATCTGGATACGTGGTAGCAATATCGAAATTCCGACCGGGTCCCATAGATAAAAAGACCCTGTAGTAATAAAACTATAGCGTTTTAGCAATAGTTAACATATTATCTATGTGCATTGCACATAAGAGTGTATATTTGTTTTATAATGTCCCTAATTGAGTAAA